AGTCGGGTGACGTTCGTAAAAACTGTTGTTTGATGATCAACAAAAACAGCGAAATCAATAGATATTATGCGTTGCAAAAATTCGTAAATATAGCTAAATATATAATAAATGTATCTACAAAATCCGGAATTAATCGCTCTTTAATAACCCGCAAAAAAAAATCACAAAGAAACACGTATTTTTCATGCCTACAAGGTAGAATGGCCCCTTAACACGTTCGCTGTCAGATCGAAAACCGTATAATATTTTGCAAAAGTAACATTTTGATTTTAGACCATTGCAAGCTACATAACCTAAAATTTGTACTTATTTTCGTAACCATGTTAAAATTTATAAATTCTATTTATTTCCCTCAACCTCTGAACTTGAGAACTAATTTTTCTAGCATAATAATGGTAAATCTTGTCCAATTGAAAACTAATTAAAATTATAATTTTTTATATGATTTTTTTTTTATTTTAGTAATTTTTCTAGCATTATGATGGTAAATCCTGCCCAATTGAAAACTAATTAAAATTATAATTTCGTTTCCGACTTTTTGTATTATTTAGTAATTTTTTATTCTAGTAATTTTTCTAGCATCATAATGGTAAATCCTGTCCAATTGAAAACTAATTAAAATTATTATTTCGTATCCAATATTTTTTATTATTCTAGTAATTTTTCTAGCATCATAATGGTAAATCCTGTCAAATTGAAAACTAATATAATTATAATTTCGTATCTGATTTTTTTTATTATTTAGTAATTTTTTTTTTGATTTAGTAATTTTTCTAGCATCATAATGGTAAATCCTGTCAAATTGAAAACTAATATAATTATAATTTCGTATCTGATTTTTTTTATTATTCAGTAATTTTTTTTATCGAATATGTTATTTAATAATAATACTACTGTACTTGATCGTAAACTAATATTCCAATTAATTTTCATTGGCCATGGGTGACGTGACAATCAAAGTGTTAAATAAACAAACTTTTGTTTATTACGCAAGTAGAATTGTACAAATTGTTTAACATTATATTTGATAATTATCCATAGACAGCAATAAATAAATTATAATTATCTGAATAAAGTAATTCTAAAATATCATTTGTTTTAAATAAACGAAAGAACGAATATTAAATCCTGTCGAACGAATTTTGTAAAACTCGTCCTCTCGAGGAAAAGTACGTTTCTCCCCTAGTCCGCTGTTTCCATATATGTATGTATGCAGGTATCTTAGGAGACAGCACCTTTCACAGAGTTAGTCAAGTTCTTTCTGAAACCTGTTCTTGTTTTGTCGAAGGAATCGACGCCTCGACTAGCTTCCTATTCCGAACTTATTTACATATTTCTACAAACGTAAGCGTGAGACGGGGTTCATGCACCAGTTTACATTTTCTTCCATGAATGTAGCAGGCTGCATTTCTAAAATTATCCGCAGTACCGTTCATTCTGTTTTCATCGCTTTAAAACATTACAATTTCCCACATTAAATGGACAAAAACAAATTTCACTTTTAACGAAAACAACAAATGCAATCACTGAACGTTGTTCTTTTTATTTATTCTTTCTCCAATTAAATAAAAAATTCCAACAGTATTTTCTTCGATATTGTATATATGTATATGCAGAGTGTATAAAATATATTCAAATTATTTTAGCGCACTGAAAGAGTTCTTAATTCACAATGACCCGGTCACCAACTTACACTTTCACGTTTCATCCAACATAAAGTTACCGTAGAAACATTCTTCGCGTGAAGCAATACCGAAAGACATTCCTTTCATCGCGATCGAATCCAATTGCCATCATACCAGTTTCACAAACTACACAACGTATCGATCTTATAACCGAGCATAGCGATTCATTCTGTTCCGAATTCGCGTGGTAAAGAAGAACACGTGGAAAATAGTACGTTCATCCCGCATTTCGTGGCTTCGAACGTGCATATAGACAATTCCAGCGATTCACCGCGCGTGACACACGCGACGCTTTTCACTACGCGAACTACAAAACTGTTTAACCTATTAACGAACGTTTTACTTTTTAACCTCGATAATATTTGACGGGACGAGGCAGAGAAACATTTCACGTATCGCTATTTCAAACAAACACATTTTCAAGATTCTGTCGAGTAAAGTTTCGCCCAACGTTAGATTTAACACGATTAGAACCAAATAATACGTACCCCGTCAGGATGGTCTCGTTGGAACCAATTTTCCGCGTACATACGTCACACTTCCACGGCGAACATTTTCACTGTGACGACGAAGAGAAACGAGCTCGACCCCCTTGCGCGAAAATACGCATAATCAACCACTACATCCGTCCTCGTCCACGAGCACAGCAACACTGACCTGCCGTCACAGAGGCAGAAGAGAACGGACCAGGTAACAGAACCTCTCGAGTATTCTCTTCCCTCCGTCCTTTTTCTTCTTATCTTCTCTCCAACCCATCTTCCCTCTCTCTCGTTCGCTTTTTCACGTCTCCTTTCTTTTCCACCTTCTCTATCTTCTCGTCCGTCCCTCCTTGTCCTCTAACCCTTCTCCCCGACTCTTTCATTTCTTACTTGCATTTCCCTTCCTCATATTATTCCCTCTATTTTTCTCTTTCGTCCTTTTGCCTTTTATTACTCTTCTTTCTATCGTTAACCTTATTCCACCGCATCCACCACGGTACACGGCTGCCTTTTTTTCCGTCCTCTTCGTGTATATCAAGCACAAGTCACGAATGTAAATCTGTGATGTTAACGGGAAGCCACGAAGAATTTCGAAAACCAAAAACCGTAATATTTTTAAAAAGAAAACCGACACTTAACACTTATTTTCGTAACCTAAAATCCACGAATCCTATTCAAATTAATTTCCCTTAACACTTCAATCTGAGAATTATAGTAAACAATTCTGTCACCCATGTAGAGATGACGTGACAGTCAAAGTGTTAATAAAAAAAGTATTTTTTTTTTTTTTTTTTTTGATTATAATATTCTTAATTTTGGACCAAACAAGGCAAAAATAACCAAGACATTAGAATGTAAAAACAAAATAATAAATTATCTGTTTACGCCGACATTTTAAAAATCAACAATTCGAGGTGAAGAAATATAAGCGTACATATAGCTAATATATTACGCTTGATTTATCAATACTATAAACACCCTCGTTCAAGCATTAAAGTAAGATCGATATCTCGCCAAAGCGAGTAGGTCCTTACCTGCTGCCTACGCGTCCTGATCGCTTTACATCGTTCAGACACCGATAACCTAATGGCCAGTAGCGTGCGTGCAATCAAGTTCACAGTCTTCTCCCGTAACCCTGCGTAGAGCATATTGCTCTCGCGTACAGAGAATGCATTGTTACGGTCGTCAGCTGCTGCTTCGAACGAGTACTCTTTCTCTATAGGTGGGGAGATGCATCGGGGTTCCAGGGTACCAGATACGGAGGGGAACCGCTAAAGCACGAGGAGGGGGGATTTGTTCCCCCATTGTCCCTGCCCGCGTACGGACGTAATTTTCACCCGATGATTGTCTCTGTAAATTGGGCATGCGTCGTCTCTGAAACTACCCAACGTTGGCATCGTTAGTAGAAAATACATTTTAACAAGCTTAATCTTAATCTTCCATTAAATCATACTACGATTAGTTCCATGTATACATTCTTTCATGATTATTATCATTATGGAAAATACGTGATTTTATTCGCAAGTTCTTTACCATCAAAATGCAAAGATTGTAAAGGCTTTTGATTTTTTTCAAATGCAAATAAATCCATTCAAAGTTCTAATCCAGTTTCTTATTGTTAGCGGTGTGATAATTCAAAAGTACGCGCCATTTTGCGATTGTACCGCCATCTACGGCGGAACGCCCAAGTTTGTTGTCAAGTGTGCCTTATTTATTTATTTATTTACTAACAACAGATGAGCCTCGTTTAGGCTTATGTGTCCCTTTGGTTAGTACGTAAAATTTACATTTTTAATTGCAGTTATGTGTATATCTTATATTACTTAACTTAATACATATTTATGAAATTATTACTACTTCAATTTTGGTACTTATGTTTAGGTTAAAACGCTTTAACGTTGGGTTCTTTTAACCCTTTGCACTCCGAATTATGTTTAAATCTTGTTGCTCCCAATGCTTTTAAGTGTTTTATTTGAAATTTACGTTAATTAAAAAATATTGTATTTTGTAATTTTCAAATGTACATCTCTTTGGTTTGGACTTGATAAAATGTCGAGTGGGACTCGACAAAGGAGTACAGAGGGTTAAGAAAGTTTTAATACAGTGCGGAGGTTTAACAGGCGGTTGTTTGAGTTTCAGATCTCGCGTCATGTTATTCCTCAGTTCTTTCATAAGTACAATCCCATGAAATGTGATCAATGGTACTGTTCACTGTATCCACAAGTGCATGCAAGATTGTAGGGCTCAGCGTGAACTCTATTTGTTACCCTCGCGAGTATGATTTCCCTATTTTTAGTCACCTCTAAATGCATTTGTAAAAACAGTTACATATAACTAGTTTCGTAGGTACTACGTCAACAGCAAGCTCATTTTTTTGAAAGAACGAGCGAACAGCAGGGTCTGTTAAACCTCGCAACTATTAACACTTTGACTGCCACACTAAAATCACATGTTTTGCTCAGGACGCCACGGACGTGCACTGCCAAATTTCATAGAAATTAATCTTTTATTTTCGATGTTCTAATGAAAATTTTTAATTACTCAATGGGGCAGTTGTTATTTCAAAGTATCTTCTAATTAGCGATTACGTTCAAAATGCACTAAACATCAATTTTCATTCAACTCTTACAATTGTAAGTAATTCAAGCGCTCCGGTCACTGATGACCACCGTGGCAGTCAAAGTGTTAAAGAAAATAGGTATATTCTATTATGAAATAAATACATATTTATAATATGAAATAAAGTACTTTCATTCCTAGCTTGAAAGTGTATGACGCGTAAACAATGAATCACTGTTAAATAACACATTCTCATCCTAGGTCATGTATGGAGAAAATCGAGAAACAGAATGTGGTAGCGAAGGTTATAAAAGGGCAGTACTATTCCACAATATTGAAGTGTTAAACTGTAAAAGTTGATAAATTAATCACAGAAAAAGAGTAATTAGTAAATTATCGAGCAGTGGTTCATTAAAGGCAGCGATCTATTACAATGGTGGGAGAATACCTATTATACCACCATCTATGGCACTTTCTACACATGCTTGCAAAATAGATCAATATTGTTTACTGTGTTTTAAAAGCTCCGGTCTGACATCGCCAGAGCTCGATCTAATTTTTTGAATGGACAAGAAGACACCGTTGCTTTCGTTCACAAGTTTACGCAATTGAGGTGAAAATAGGATTACTTCGGGTTTTAAAATATGCACAGTCGAGTCGTACTTTCCATGATAACTCTCGTGCAAATTTTTGCACGTGTATATACCAATTTTGTTACTATTTACCCAACTAGTAGCTATACCTGCATCTTTATGGACGATTGGAATTTCCTAACAAAATTAGGAAAAAATTGAATTAATTAATGAAAAATTGAAATTAAAATTTTATCCTAATAAAATTACTGTGAATACGTTTGCAACCGGGCAATTTTACAATTCTATTTTAATTTACCAATACTTTCAGTTTTAGAACATTGAATGTAATTCGTTATAATTATTACAAAAAAAAATAACGTACTGATAGGAGCATTTTATTATTACTAAATGTTTCTATTAAACAGAGAAAGGATTTTAAATAATACCAAATGAATTGAATGATGGAATTATAGGTTATAATTTCGTTGCTTACTATAACTGGAGGACTGTCAGCTTCGTCCATTTTTTACAATAGAGTAAAAAACTGCTGTTCGAATCACGCGATAATTTAGAATATAATTCGAATTTACTTTACATTCGAAGTTAACTTTTTCAATGTTTTCCGGCAACGCTTGCCCTCTTCCTCGATTCTCAGAAGTTGCCCGACTTACGATATTTGTTAATAACTATTTAATTACGGACGGAATGGTTATAAAAAGTATTCTCGAATCTTGACCAGAGACTAAATTACAGTATTAAACTGTAAATGTTCATAAATTAATCACAGAAAAAGAGTAATTAGTAAATTATAGAGCAGTGGTTCATTAAAGGCACTGATTTATTATAATGGCGGGAGAATATCTATTATACCACCATCCAGTGATTGACATCGTGGAAATTGTGGTCATGCGCACTGGGATTCCTTTCTGCGCATGCGTAAGCTGTCGTCACAGCTACCTATCGTCCGCTACCATAGATGTATCTTTAGCGCAAAATAGATGCATTTTGGGAATTCCAATGTTTTATACAAAATTGAACTTTCTACTTCAAATGTTCGCCAATCACACAAAAGTTAACTTATCGAAGATCCCCTACGTATTTCTCTATCTATACTCGCGTAGATTAAGAGGAAATTTTTCGTTTTTGTCTCTCCCTATAACTTTCTTAAATTTTGTTCCTCACTGGGATCCAACGGTACCCTAAATTCTAAATTCTAGTTAAGTGTATACGGCAGTGATCATGCGCTCCAGTGCGCATGACCAAAATTTCCACGAATGTCCATCACTGCTCCGAACAGTGTCCTTTCACGAGAAGAAGCCACAGCGTGTTTACATCCCCACTCTTGCTGCAGCCCGCTGATTGGCTGACCTCGTCACAGTTCTCGACCAATACCTGTGAGTCAGTGGACTGCGACAGAAGTGGGGATTTGAACACGCTGTGCCTTATTCTCGTGGAAGAATGGTACACGACGCGTAATATCTTTTGACTTCCTAAATAAATTTGATGAATGAAAGCAACATGTCTGTGAGGAAAATCTTTTCGTTGGTGTTTATCAGGAAGGCAACAGAGGTTTTATTAGGTTTAAAAAAACGAGGATTTGGGAAAGGTAAATGGAACGGTTTTGGCGGTAAAGTGGAAGCAGGAGAAACAATTCTTCAAGGAGCTATTCGGTAAATTGTTTTCGATAATCGTAATTATTTCGTGTACACTGAGGGAGACGTGTATAATTCATTCCGATTAACTTGATTCTTTTTCAAGTAAAACTCGTTTAAATAGAAAATTAAGGATATCGTGTTCAACAACATTCTATATTTCGTAAGAATCACATTAAATAACAATAAATTTCAACAAAGACTTTTATTGTCTTTATGTATAGCATGCAAGATGAATCACGAAAATATTTGCAAAATTTCAAAATAGATATAAACTTTCGTTAAATACTATATTAGCTATTAATAGTGTCTATACTAATTATTATTGGTATTTTATTAAAAATCTTTTTACCAATATTATTTGTATAGATGAATTTCTTAACATATATTCAGTGTACCTTAGACCGATATACATACAACAATATAATCTCATAGTTTTATTACAATATTATACATTAATCTATGTTTATAAAGAATTACATAAAACGTTTTCCATGAATCACCTTGTATAAGCAGGTACAGATTTAAGTAGTCAAATAAATATAAATAATGCATAAATTAAAATCGTGACTAACATGCGGGTATGACCAAACAGCGGACAGTGCTGCCGCCTGTGGCGAGAGCGGCAACTCAACCGCCACATTCTCCCGCCATGTTAATAAATCGCAGCCTTTTTGAACTACTGTTCGATAATTCACTAATTACTCTTTTTCTGGGATTAATTTATGAACATTTACAGTTTAATACTGTAATTTAGTCTCTGGTCAAGATTCGAGGATACTTTTTATAACCATTCCATCCGTAATTAAATAGTTATTAACAAATATCGTAAGTCGGGCAACTTCTGAGAATCGAAGAAGAGGGCAGGTGTTGCCGAAAAACATTGAAAAAGTTCAATTCAAATGTAAAGTTAATTTAAATTATACTTTAAATTATCACGTGCTTCGAACAGCAGTTTTTTTACTCTATTGTAAAAAATGGATGAAGCCGACAGTCCTCCAGTCATAGTAAGCAACGAAATTATTTTTAACCTAAATCACTACCTAACCTATAATTCCATCATTCAATTCATTTGGTATTATTTAAAATCCTTTCTCTGTTTAATAGAAACATTTAGTAATAATAAATTGCTCCTATCAGTACGTTATTTTTTTTGTAAAAATTATAACGAATTACATTCAATGTTCTAAAACTCAAAGTATTGGTAAATTAAAATAGAATTGTAAAATTGCCCGGTTGCAAACGTATTCACAGTAATTTTATTAGGATAAAATTTTAATTTTAATTTTTCATTAATTAATTCAATTTTTTCCTAATTTTGTTAGAAAATTCCAATCGTCCATAAAGATGCAGGTATAGCTACTAGTTGGGTAAATAGTAACAAAATTGGTATATACACGTGCAAAAATTTGCACGAGAGTTATCATGGAAAGTACGACTCGTCTGTGCATATTTTAAAACCCGAAGTAATCCTATTTTCACCTCAATTGCGTAAACTTGTGAACGAAAGCAACGGTGTCTTCTTGTCCATACAAAAAATTAGATCGAGCTCTGGCGATGTCAGACCGGAGCTTTTAAAACACAGTAAACAATATCGATCTATTTTGCGAGCATGTATAGAAAGTTTACAGGATATATCTGGAAAAGCTTTGTCCGATAAAAGAGAATCGTTGGAAAATTTTCTCACTATTTTTTACCAAATCGAATGCGTGTGGCATCTGACTGAAATTCTTTATATAGATGTAGTACCAGGTAAGACGTTTTGTTACAAGTAATAAGCAATTTGTTGACAATGTTGATGATAATATTTATAACAGCGTTGATGTTTAAAATTTAGGCGACGTAATATTGCCGCAGTTACTCGAATGGATTAAATTTCATTTTCCATCCAGAGAACTTATGGCAATGAAAATATTAGCCCAGAAAACAATTGGTGCTGATTTGGAACATGCAAATTATTGGGAAGCGGTGAAAGGCTGCACGTTGCACGGAAAGCTAGATTTGGTGCGAGCTCTTCTGGCGTTGCACAGTAAAGCGGATCATCCTGCTTTCATGATGTCAGAGAATGCCCTTAAAACAATGCCAGTCTACAATGCATACGGCGGTTATTCTGTGAATGAATTTACAATCCGCTGGAAACATTGGCAGTTAGAATTAAGTTCAAATATAAACAACAAAACTTTTGTCATCGATACAGAATTAGAAACAATTATGAAGGTATTTATAGTTGTACTATAAATATAACGATTTAATGTTAATCGCTTTAAATTATTAAAAACATTTAATTCAGTTAATTGCAGGAGACCAAGAAATACTCTGGCAATGTATATCTTACACAGACGCTTGGTACGAATTGTTGGCAGCAAAATTATTTTATACGTCCCCGTGTTGCAAACAACCTGAACTTTCGCATCAGGCAAACAGTATTTCCAAAAGATGGCAAGCCAACAGACCTTCCGATAATGCTATTCTCGCTTTGATGGAAAGCGATTTACATCAAGTTATTAAAGAAATACAGTACATGGGCGACAATGGATGGTTCGCGACGCATTTAGTGAATTTACTTTACACTTGCGGAAGACTTAAAATTTTGGATAAAGATCAGATCGAGTAAGTATTTTACTAATTGCTATTACAGTTTTTATAGAAATAGAGTTATATTTTTTTACGCCGCATCCACTGTGAGGTTATTAGCAGCATCAGTCGGGTGGTTTTTTCTTATATTTTGTCAATTAATTTTGTTTCTTCGACGAATCCCAGTAGGTTGTGTAGCTTTTTGTTGGTGAGGTTTTCTTTAAGTTGAGATTCCAGCTTACGTTTACAGTATCCTATTTAATTCTTCAATTTTGAATGTTTCGTTGATTAAAAAAAGGTCCTGGTTTCGAATACTGGGGGTTTTATTGGCCTCGGGGAATGTTTGTTCAGTTTTATATTTAAGGAAGTTGCTATCGTAGTTTTTATCACTAGAGTTTTTAGCGAATGTTTTAACTAGTAAGTTTGCTATTTTATTTGTGGTCGTTGGCAGTGGTTGTGGCGCTGCTTTGCTGCGTTGTGAATCTGGCAGAGTTATTTATTGTAAATAAGAAATTTATCCAGGATTGTTTCTTATTCTTTTTAACGGTCATTCTTGCACCAGCTCAAAGATTTTTAAATTGTATAAGATTAGCGGTTGTCTTTTGTTTTTTGTATCTGTTGAAGGCGTGTTTGTAATTTTTTATTGCAGTTTCACATTCCTCGTTAGTTATATTTCATTTTCGTAGAGTCACTAATCAACTTCACGAGTCCCTCATATTGGAATATGGCAACGCATTGATGGGACATCATTCTTTGTGGCAATGCGGTGCAAGTTATTTGATACACAGCCCGATTCAAGGTCTAGCTAGACTCGAGATACTGTTACAATCATTACCAACGGGATCTGAAGCGAGAATAAACAAGATAATAGACATAGCACGAGACAATGAAATGGACCATATTGGTATAAGATTTTATTTGTAAATTTTTTGATACTTCTCAAAGCGTAAAAAAATTCTTTTCAATTGCATTATTTACAAAAAAGCAATTATTTCAAGACGTTTTCGTTTTCGACTAGAATCTCCCATTAAAATTTTTCCCCTGTATATTTTATTTCGTGTTATCGTAAATAAAACTTGAATCTAATTTCTTTTTTTTTTATTTTTTTTTAGTTACGAGCATATGTAAAATTCAAGGTGTAAAATGCATAAAACAAGGAAGACTCGGAAACGCGCTCGCGTGGGCGTTAAAAGCGCAAGACAGTGGTTTCATAACGTACATCGCCGATCAGTTTCTGAAGCAATATTCGGAAAATGGAAAACTGGAATGCCGCGATTTGTTGGAAAATTTAGGTTTCTGTATGATGGCAAGCGACAGACTCACATTTTTAGGTGAATCATCAGTTTCGAAATATTGAAAGCACCAAATAAATTAAATGCAATATCGGTCATTTTTATTATGTTTTTTAATTAGGAAAATATTGTGAATTTCATCAGATGTACGGGATTGGAGAATTTAAAGAAGCAGCAAGTTTATTAGTATCTCTTTTAGTGTCGAACTTGACTCCAAAATAGTGAGTGGAATATAGATATCGACGCATTCGATTTAAATAAGAAGAGACTGTTCTTATGAAATTTTTGTTCCAGTTTCTGGTCGATTCTTTTGTCGGATGCTATTCCATTGTTGGAAGCAAAAGATGTAATACTGTCTTCCAGTGATTGTTTTGAATTGTTACGTTGCGTGGAAGCGCACGGAGACGACTCGAAGTTTCAAAATGAAATCGAAATCTTTCGATTGGCGGTCGCTAGAAACTTGGCTCGTGCATTGAGTCTCGAAGGCTGCCAAGCGGAACATTAGAAAGTCTATTAGCATTTATTATGTAGAAGTTTTCTAATTTTTGAATAAAAAAAAAAAATTTCACGTCTAAATGTTGATTTATTTTTACTAAATTATGGTACATGAACGTTCACGCTTGTGTATCGAATTAAAGAAAAACTTTTAGATAAGGATCGTTTTATCGTTAGTTAATATAAATAAAATTGTTCATAATAATTGTGAAATTTTTGTTAGAAAACGTACTATTAGAAACTGAAACGAATAGTTCGAACGAGTCGTGTAAAAATTTGTTGGTGGTGTACATTCGATATCCGGTTCAAGGTCTGGACTGGTTTACGATTATTTGATCTATGCAACATGAAACGGGAATTGACATAACGCGTCAATTTTTTAAAACGTTTCATAGATCGTAAGTTGTACGCGATATTTATCGCTGATTAAGTGCTTAAAAATTTTGCTTAACCCCCTGTACTACGCTGAAATTCGGAAGAAGTGCCTAACCCATGCGTTCGAATGATCGGGAAAGGAGCCAATGAAAGGCTGACAGTAGCGTTATTTGTCGATTTCCCGAAGTTGGGCAAAGTGCCAAGCTCACGTACAGGTGGCGCGTGCGGTGGTGTATGCCTCCTATCCCCACCACTCCGTTAGACGCTAAGAAAGTTCGTCGTCCCTATTGTCGATTTCGATGCACTCAATTATCTGGCCACAATGGGTCAGAGTCTGACTGTCAGACTCGTGTTATTCACGTTTGACATGAAATTAAACAACAACCCGACGAGCCTGACTCGTGATATACAAGTTTAACCTCAAAATTTTCATCGCGAGTCAGACTCGCGAAAATAGTGAAAGAAGTTAAGAAAAGCCTTATTTTAGCAAAATTAATAGTAAAAAACGTCAATGGTTAGTAAAACAATTCTTTGGTAACAATTATGATTTTGGAAGATGTTAAATAGATTGAAAGATTATATGCTACAAGACGTTAAATTATAATTAAACTCATTGTATAAATTACACGAATGATTATAATAGATAATTTTCAATAGAAAGAACAAATGGAAGAATTATTCCGGTAGTTGGAAATGTTCATATAAGAAATCGCGTACAATACTTATGTCCAGCATAATATACGTAGTTTCCACCATTTTTATACTGTCAACCAAAGAAATTTTGTAACACAATTGTCTGTGATCGAAATACAAGAAAAGTAAGTACTGTGCCAGTACAATGTACTTTAAATGTAATGTTAGCAATACCTCGTCATAGTTACGTACCGCGTGTAATATAGTCAATTGACTGGAAGTGTCGGTAATGACATTACGTAATACCAGAGGTAATACTGTTTATTTAAATCGATCCGATGCTACCGATGCATAAAATTGTGTCTAAATGTGCGTACAGTCGATAAATGGAACCGACAAAATGGCGGCGGCCGAATGTTGTGTTTGGCGATAAACTCGTGTCTTATTTTGAAAGTCGTCTTGACAATTCGACCGCCATCCAACGAGTGCGAAAGAAACAATCGAGAAACTGCGAACAAATTTTTACACGCGAACAGTGAATAGCGGGAAATTTTTCGAAATCGATCGAACATAACTTCCGCGACACGTTATTCAATCGTACTCTAATTAATATATACGTTTCGATATATCCGCGAATTTCGTGTTTGTGCGTCGGTATTTAAACCCGAAACATGATAAGAAACAGTGTCGAAAAAATAAATTTGAAACGAGAACAAGCTAAGGGCATTTAAAATTGGAACATTCCTAGGAAACGGCCCGTTCAACGATCGGGGTGAGTTATACGTCATTCGATTCGTCTGATCCAGTACATTATTGATATGCATTTCATTATCTGCGGAAATTCATTACTTTTTTATCAAACTTGTAAAGTTACAGTAAAAAAGTAAGGTTAAGTACATTTTTTGACAGGTGCACAGGTAGAAACAAGTGACTATCGTTGCTATGTTCATATTACAAATTATAAATGATTGATCTAATTCGATAATGCTACATTGTCAAATGGGGATTTGTAGAACGTGTATGCATAAAAATCATTCTTTTACGCATAGACTTTGCACGAGTCGGTCAGGTATACAGTATACGCCGCAACAATTAACCCTCCCCCCCATATAACCCAGACCTACTCAGACAGTACTTATACGTAGACAGTACATGCAGCAACAGTAAGCAATGTTTCCACACCCCTCTGACAGTGTTTATGGGTAGACGATGTAATAAATTACTATTGTATGCAGTGCGTTGGTTTAACTTTTTTTTTATTGTTAAATTTCATTATCGTCTAAGTCTGGTATATTTTGATTTTCTACCGAATCAAATGAAATTTCTGAAATTTCTTTTAATAACTGATTAAATAAATCATTCTTCCCTTGCTTGGAAGATTTATAAAATATGTAATGGCTTAAGTACCCAATGAAATTATCATTTTTGCTGAAAATAGAAAATATTTATGGTACTGCTACTAACCGACAATATTCACGCAAAAGTTGTTTACCATGCCTCCACGTAGTTTCTATTGTATTCGTATAAGCGTCTGTTTCTGGGTGTTTAAAATGTAAACTATGGTTTACGGTGAGATGTGTATACCCGTCTTCTTCCAAAATATTGTAGGCTTTCCAACAATCTGAGATAATTGTAGTTCCAGGCAACACCCGCTGTTTAATTATTGAAAGAAGGGATCCTGTGTCCCTACTTTCAATAGGGACCAGGAATATTTTCCCACTTTCCCTTTCTATTCCTCCGAAAACCCACTGTCTTTCCACACGACGATCTCTATGATATTTTCTTCTGCCGAATTTAGACTCGTCATTTTTTACCTTTTTGGCATTTGTTTATTTTGATTCCTGAATGGGAGTCAGAGGGTCAGGGGGATCAAAGGGTAATATTTAACCCTTTGCGGTCGTATGTCTACTCTCAGCCACCAAAGCCTTTTTACCGTTCTGGTCGTATGTCTGCTCTCAGCCACCACAGCAAGGAACTATAAGAATCGTATACTGTATGCATTCATGTATCAGTTTACACTTTTCCTATACGAACCTCAATGCCTAAAGGACCTATTCACGAACCAATACGGTGCTCCATCAATTGGAGATAACGTAATTTAATGTACACAAAAGTTGTAACTCAGTGCTCGCCATGCAAGACGCAGTGGCGAGTCATTTGTCTTTTGAACATAGTGAAATCGACAACGTTCGACGATACCTTGTAGATTTCCAAAGAATATTTTATAAATTGTATTTAACAGTAATTAGACATTCTCTCTTCTTAAAATATTCCAAAATAATTCCCCAAAATGCAATACATGCACTCGAAAACCTGGCCTGCATGTTGGAAAGTGTTTTGAAAAATATCACACGAAGGAGAATTATAAAACATAATTTCTATACAAAAACATATCACAAGATGAGTGTATTGAATAAAGATATATCTAAAGTTCACAAAAGAATTACTAAATCTTGTTTATACATCGTAAACTTGCGTGTTATGTATCCCTGCTCTATCAACGGAAATTAATTCCGACCAGTACGATACCCATCTCCAAATTTAATCCGACCGCAAAGGGTTAAGGGCCCACAGGGTCACAACAGTGCTTCTTACGCTCAAATATGCTCAAACGTGGTAGTCTAGAATAAGGCGCACCATTATTGACTTTTGATCCCCTGTATCTCGGAAACTGTTCAATTTACAAGCTTGGGCCCATTGGAACTTTTCATCAAGACGTAATGAACTACATCGTATCAAAAGTTCAGCTAATTTAAACGGGGGGCCATTTTCCATAAGATCTGTGCGGGGTGCTTTCATTCAATAAATGTTTAACAAATTAGCATTTGACAACCTGGCATTTTGAACACAGTAACGACATTCACTTGTTTCCACCTGTGAACCTGTCAAAATATACTTAACCTTACTTTTTTACTGTAATATTACAAGTTTATAAAAAAATAACGAATTTCCGCAGATAATAAAATGCATATCAATAATATACTGAATTAAACGAATCGAACGACGTATAACTCACTCCGATCGTTGAACGGGCCGATTGCTAGGAATATACCTTAAAATATACCTTAAAATTTTACAAACCACGGTTTTAAACATTTAACTTCCACAGTGAATGTATCCGAATATATAAATATCTGTAAAATCTTTTATACACTCCGCAATGAGCGTAAAGTATTTAATTTTTATTGAATGGAGAATAAAAGATCGTACGCGAAATATCATAAATGAAGACTGTATCAACGATGTGAACATGTAACTGAAAATCAAAACAATTTACAGAGACGATCGGTGAGCATATACATTAATATTCTTACTGTAATATTAAGAATCGAAGAAACTATTTTATACGTACTTACAGTTTACACGATGGAAGATTACACTCCTATCGACGAAGATTTTCCTGGCAGATTGCTACACCAGGCTGCTTTATGGGATAACGCGGAGTTGTTAGAAGATCTTTTGCGTGGCGAGCACGCGCAATACATAAACAGCCAAGATTCATGGGGTAGAACTCCGTTGCACGCAGCAGCTATTACAGAAAATTCAAGGTGTTTGGATGTACTATTGTCTGCCAGTGCTAATCCGAACATACCATGTGGACCAAGAGGTCATTACAGGACACCGTTGCATATTTGTGCAGAACACGGTCATAGTTCCAACATCGAGAAGCTTCTGGAATTCAAAGCAGATTTAATGATCGCAGACAATAATGATTTGAAACCAGTAGACGTAGCTGAGAAAAATATGCAAGATGTTTGTACAAATTTGCTTAAATTGGGTGCCGAGAAGTATGAATTGGCGAATCTAGCAACGCATGCTTCTTTACGTGCAACGTGTATTCAGGGAGACGCAGTGGCAGCTAAGAACATTATCCAAAGCGTTAGCAGCAAGTTGGATTACATTATTAACGTGGCACCAAACGGTGCGAATACCTTGCTCTTCATAGCATGCGAAATGGGTCACAAAGATATAGTGAGGCTGCTATTGGATCATGGCGCAGATTGTAGGACACATCCTGTCACTAAATACTGTCCGTTGTACATATCATGTTACAACGGCAAGGTAGAAATTGTGGAACTGCTTCTCCGACACTTCCCCAAACAGGTTCACTCTTTGACGGTGGAGAAATGGTTACCAATTCATGCGGCAGCTATAAATGGCCACCACTTGGTTATCGATTTGTTACTAAAATTCGAGTATCCGCAATACGCGGATCAGTGCTTCAAAGACACGTCCGGAGAATTCGAATACGAAATGCCGTTTGATATTAATGCTCAAGACGTCACGGGGCAGAATGTTCTATACATATCCAGCATGCTTGGGAATATTAAAATCGTAGAGTTGTTATTGAATTACAGGGTGAAAGCGAGGAAGACCAAAGAGGAGGATATGGGGGTCGCGCAACCGATTCTTATGTCGAAAAGAAAAATCTCGAGCGGTATCCAAAAGCTGATGTCCAGCTTGAATTTTCGGAGCAGAGCGTTCGACAAGAAAGACGACAATATGATATGCCCGTTGAATTTAGATTTATACTGCAACAACGCCACCGAGACCGCTTTGTACGCCGCTGTGAAGGGCAAACACACGGAAGTGGTTACGGCGTTGTTGGCGGCTGGCGCCGATCCGAATCTGCCGCTAAAAGTTCCTTGCGACCAGACCGATTCAGATAGTAATTATTCCAGTGCATTGATCGTAGCTTGCCAGCAGCGTGACGTCAAGATAGCCGACCTCTTGCTGAAGCACGGTGCTGCGGACAACACGTGCAAAGCGATAAAAATTGCCGCGCAAAACCGTGACGAGGTCCTGACGGCGAAGCTTCTGTCCATAAAGGCATACCCCGACTCCGAATACACAATCAACAAGAAAGTTATGACAGAGGGCACACAAACGTCTCATTTCTCCACGTTGTCCGCTCCACGTCCGTTGTTTGGTAACGTGACGTACTCGACGTTGTTCCCAAACACTCCGACGATGATAAACTGGCACGATCAACAGTGCCATCTGTCGCAAATACGGTCCCAGTGGCTGATCGATGCAGTGTTGCACGTGAACAAAAAACTGAGCGCCAAGAACAACGATATTATCTTGTACGCGATTACGAGAATAGATGTATCTCATAATTCCATCACCTCCATACCATCCACTATATTCTACTTGCAGAGCTTGCGGTACCTTAGCGTGGCGCAGAACAAAATCGACTCCCTGTCCGCCGAAACGAAAAATCCCAAGGACAAGTTGTGCCCGTTTTTGGAAGAGATATACCTGCAGGACAACCGACTGGAGCAATTGCCGGAGTTTATAATGAGTCTGCCCGCCTTGGAAATAATGGACGTTTCCAACAACAAGCTGCAATGCCTTCCAGACAATTTGTGGCGCGCCCCGAAGTTGAAGGAACTGAACGCGTCGTTCAATTTGTTGAAGGATCTGCCTAGCCAAGCGTCGCAAAACATCTCACGAAAATCGCAACGGGACGACGTGTTGAACAACAGCCCGAGCAACCGGAGCTTGGCGTCCCAGCTCGCCATTTCGCGCGAGGACTCGTTGGAGTTCGAATCGTTCACAAAGATAGCGAACGCGCAAACCATCGAGATGAACCGTCCTCACGTTTGGACCAGATCGGTGCAAGTGTCGGAAAATATATCCGACGAGAACGAGGGTGGAGGAACGAGGTCGGTGTTGACGTCGTTAAATCTGGCCCACAATTTGTTTAACAGCATCCCGGTGGCGTTGCCGTGTCTGGCTGTTAATTTGGTCAGACTGAACATGGCTTACAATTCTCTGCGATCCATGAGCCACATAACATCCTACCCCGCGAGCTTGAAACAACTGGACCTGTCGAACAATCAGATATCTCGGTGGCCCAGTTTGCCGCAGGTAGATGGCGCTGATCTGATGGAACAAGCGAACACCGCGTGTTATTGCCCCACCGCCAACGTTCAATCGCCGATTGTTCCGGGCGGCAACCGGCAGACAGCGACATGTCTGCGCGACGTGGTCCTCATGTCGGTTTGCACGCACAGGCGCCACCTGCGATTGGAAAATTTGCGAACGCTGATCCTCGCCAACAATTTGCTGAACAGGATCCAATTGACTTCGATCGACGACGGTGAAATGCCCAATTTGGAAGAGGAGAGCGTCGACAAAGATACGAAGATAACTTACACCGGCTCGAAATTGTATTTGTTGTTCCCCAACGTCAGTATGCTCGATGTGAGCAACAACAGGCTGAAAGAAATACCGCAGAACATTTACGAGCTCAGCAATCTGTCCGTGTTGAATATAAGCGGGAACTCGGACATCGTCGAGCTGCCACCGCAAATGGGATTGCTATCCCGTTTGTGGAATCTGAATACTCAAGGTTGCAGGCTGCAAGAGCCGTTGAAGACGATGATCGAATCGAAGAAGTACAAGACGATGGACGTTATCGGCTACTTGAAGTCGATTCTGGAGGACGCTAAACCGTACGCTCGTATGAAATTGATGATAGTGGGTATACAAGGTATAGGTAAGACGAGTTTGTTGGAGCAACTGAGGCAAGAGGGCGAGGTGCCCAATAAGAAGAAAGCATCCGAGCATTGGGCAAAGAGGATGGGTAATAAAAACATTAATACAAAGACTGCTCGGGGAACGACCATATCCACAGTTGGCGTTGATATCGGGGATTGGATTTACGAGAAGAAGATGAAGGGCCAGTCGTCTCACGGGCCTGTTTATTTCAGAACCTGGGATTTCGGCGGGCAGAGGGAGTACTACGCGACGCATCAATATTTTATATCGAAGCGTAGCCTGTATCTGGTCGTATGGAGGATCACGGATGGGTTCAAGGGCATCTCGGAGATATTTCAGTGGTTGGTAAATATTCAAAGCAGAGCACCGAACACGCCGGTAATCATCGTCGGCACTCATTTCGACGTGTCGTACGAGCACAGCGAGGCGTTGCAGCAATACATCCGCGACAAGTTCATTAACGTGGTGGACGCTGAGAAATGCGGTTTGCCGAAAGTGATGGAGACCATCGAAGTCAGCTGCAAAACTCGGCACAATATAAAGATGTTGTGTAACTTGATATACGACGTTGTTTTCAGCCTGAGATCGCCCGGTAGCAAAGAGCTGTTGCTGGAGCAGAAAGTGCCGTCCAGTTATCTGGCGCTGGAGGACGTGGTGATGCAACTGGCGCACGAGAGGAAACTGTCGGGCGGGGATCCGGTACTGAAAGCCGATCAGTACTACACGGCGGTGAACAACGAGCTTCAGAAGCTCCATAGATCGTTCAGAGATCCCGCAGAGCTGCACCAAGCGACGCTCTTCCTTCACGAGAACGGCATCATCTTGCATTACGACGACGCCACGCTGAAAGACTTGTACTTCCTCGACCCCCAATGGCTCTGCGACATGCTGGCGCACGTGGTCACTATACGCGAGATCAATCCGTTCGCTAGGTCCGGTATAATGAAGCTGGACGACATCCAGCACGTGTTCAAATCCTCGACGATATCGTCCATAGACACTCAAGGTTACATCGTCAGTTTGTTAAATAAGTTCGAGGTCGCGATGACATGGGATTACCGTACTTTGTTGATCCCCTCTTTGTTACCGACCGAGGAAGATATTTTGATTAACAACCAGGTGACCAGAATCCCGGTGAAGAAGCGTGGCTGGCACGTACGCTCGAAGAAGATCGCCTCGTCGATGACAATGTTACAAAACTCATCCGGCGAGAAACCCACCACCGAGTACGTGCTCACGTCCAGATCGCAGCCGGATTGCTCTGTCACGAGACTCTTTTTGATGTCCTACTTTCCAAGCGGCTTCTGGTCGAGGCTGATAAGCAGAATTCTAGCCGACGACGCGATCGTCGAGATCGTCGAGTCGTTTCTGGCGCCGTTCAAAGACTTCGTAGACGATAATATTTTTCAAAGCTTGCTGGACACGGAGGCGGAGTGGATACTCTGGCAAACGGGTATAGAGCTAAGATACGCCAACATCACTCTGCTGCGTCTCAAAGAGGTCACTTACAATTTGAAGAACCTGCCGTACGATTATAGACAGTACAAGTTCAAGTTGAAGCAGGACGGCATATGGTGCACCGTGGATTTGAAGAACTCGGCGATTCTGGAGATTTGGTTCCCGGTCGACACGTTGGTGATCAAGCAACCGATCATGTCCGATTCGGCCGACGAGGATGAACCGATGGGTTACCAAGCGATCGTGGTCGAACCTCGCCCGGAAAGCATGCCGCAACTGTTGGCATTGATAGTCGATCATATTGATATTCTATTGGAGGACTGGTATCCTACGTTAGGAACACGTTTCGTGCACACGTCGGAGGGTAAATTATTGATCACGCGTCTGATACCTTGTCCGCGGTGTCTCTTGAACAATGGAGAAAACGAGAACGAAATTAGCGATAACAACGATCGGTTAGCAGAAGATATACAAAAGTATTATGTAAATAAAGAGAGACAGAGCCAAGATAGTTACAAGTCCGATGGTGATAGCGGTGTAGGCTACGACAGCTTAACATCGAGCAGGATGCCGTCCTTGGAAGGTCATCCGGACTTCGCCAAACAGAATCCGCAATCCGAAGGTATTCTGGCGTATTCGTGGATGGTCGAGGAGTGTATTCTGTCCGCCTACAGCAACAAACCAATTCGTTGCCCTAAACACTACGACATACCGTTGTCGCACATGGCTCCGGATATTATTTTCATGGACCTCGGCTCGAAACATCTAATAAAATTGGAGGATATTAAATTGGGGACGCTTTTGGGCCGTGGCTCGTACGGCTTCGTCTTCAAAGGTGTCTACCGTATGCCTGGGTCTTATCAGCGACCTGAGATCGCCATAAAAATGCTGCAACCGGTCCCGCCGGGTCCAAATTCGAGACAGTCTGCTATTCTGGCTTACAAAGCTGCGCAAAGTAAATGGGACCGTGATCCATTGCAATACGCTTGCAAAGCTTACTGCACCGCCAGGCAAGAATTGAACATTTTGTTGACGCTCAGACACACAAATATCGTACCGTTCATCGGTATAGTGGTCAGCCCGCTAGCGCTGGTATTGGATTTGGCGCCAGGTGGCGCGCTCTACCAAGCTCTCTATCATTACAGACGTTCGGGGACCAAGTTGGACCCGTACACGTTGCAAGCTATAATACTTCAAGTAGCAAAAGCTGTCGAGTACCTTCACCAGCAACACGTTATTTACAGAGACTTGAAGTCGGAGAATGTTCTGGTGTGGCAGATGCCTCTTCCTTTTCAAGATGGCGCCAAACGTCCTGTCCACGTTAAAGTAGCCGATTATGGTATATCCAGACTGACATTGCCAACCGGCGCCAAAGGGTTTGGTGGAACCGAAGGATTTATGGCACCTGAAATTATCAAGTATAACGGTGAAGAGGAATACACAGAGAAAGTTGACTCGTTTTCATTTGGAATGTTTATATACGAATTGATCACCTTGAGGCTACCGTTCGAGGGCCACGAAGCGGTCAAAGAGTGTATTTTGGAAGGCGAGAGACCGTCGTTGACCTACAGAGAGACATTTCATCCTTGTTACGCTCTCGATCTGATGGTTATTTGTTGGGCCCAGAATCCAAAAGATCGACCAACCGCCAGCCAAATAGTCTCCATCGCGTCTGCACCCGAGTTCACGCATCTCATAGACGTGATAATGCTGACGGAAAGAACGCAAGTGACCGCCATTACCATGACAAACAGAACTATAGAGGAGGACATAAACGGTGACGAAATTTGGTTTGGACACAACAACGGTGAAGTTGACATGTTGCTGGGTACGCAAAAGGGCTGGCTGCAACACGTTAGAATCGAAACCCCGATAATACCGTACGCAATGTGTGGACTGGATGGGTATATTTGGATCGGTGATAATGCAGGACAGGTGCACGTTTATTTGGGCAGCAATTTTGGTTGCGTTGCTAGCTACGATCTAGAACCAGATCACAACAAGGAATCGAAAATAGTGAGTCTGATTTATTTGGAGCAGATAAAGCAGTTCGTGGTGGCGTTGCACAGTGGGAAAATATTTTTATTATCGAACTCTTTCACCCAAATGAAGAAAACTGAAATCCCGACTGACGTACAAGACAATATAAAGACGTACTCCCTGGCAGCTATTTATAAAAAGAAACGCATAGTGGAATTGTGGGTCGGGCAAAGCTTTGGTAGAATATCGATCTACATATTAAAGGACAGCAGTTTAATAGACACCGTACAAGTTTACCACGCTACAGAAGAGACAGTTCTTAAAAGCTTGTTTGCTACGTATTTACTCAGCGCTGAGAATTCCATTTTATCCTACACGTACCCTGGATGTATCGTCTACCAATGGGATGTAGATACCAGGCAAATGATAAATAAATTAGATATGTCGAAATTAGTACCTTGTTCGGAGAGCCTAAAGTCCATTTCTATTGAAGAGAATTTATCGACAGAGAAATGCCAAGTGACAGCGTTCGAAACTTGTAGGAATCAGTTGTATATCGGTACTACTTGGGGATGCATCGTAGTGGCTGAATGTACCTCCCTTACGCCAATTACTGTTTTCAGACCTTTCGAAGGTAAAGTATGTCAAATAATATCGCTTAACACGACAAACGAAGAGAAGTTAGTGTTGGCAACGGTTGGCCAAGGTTACAGAAGTTTAATATCACGATATACCGATTTCTCGGTCGGCAGTTCGGACGCTGAAGATCTTAAGCATAGTATGTATGCACTTTTGTGGAGATCCGAACATTGGTCCGCAGCTTAATCGTAACCTTTAAGAGCATAATGTTAAGAGTGCTTCATGGTGCAAAGATTAAGAGTGATATAACTGGTTGAAAATTCTATACGTCCACGATATACTTCAGTATGTAGATATTAAGCTTTCTACCTTGCCTCGTATAAGATCTCTTGCACTGAAGCTAAAGAATATGTACTCTTTTGATCTGTCCGAGCTGTACGGTGCTTGATTAAAATACTTTTCTGTAAACTAATTTGCAGAACACACATAGTATAAGCAGGATATTTTTATTATTTTGTGATGCAATACAATATAGTTTTGTAAATTTGACAACGCATTTGATAAATTAACTTTACGATCTCTAAAATATCATCAAAGCTTCTGTATGTCTATGATAAACGGATAGTTTTAATGCGCGCGCTTTTTCGTAATGCAAAGTCGTAGGTATAATGTATCTTGTTAATATATTTATATAATTGTTGCTTAAAAAAGATCTTTTTCAATAGTCTAAAATTGAAGAGCTATCGGAACAAGCTAGCGACTCTATAAATTGTTTTACTACCTTAAAGGTTACTGAATTAGCATAAAGCCAGGTTTTATTAAAATTATAGAGAAGCGAGAATGCATTTCTTAATAATTAAAGTAATTACTATGCATTTATATGTATGAAAGTTATATATGAAATATAAACGTTAACAAGCATTAGTAAGGGATACGATTTACCGGTAGTTCTTCCATAATCTTAATGTTATGTGTAAGAATTAGGTCCTGACCTCGGTACAAAAAGTATCCTCTGAACAATTCCCCTCGTAACATATAAGGAAACCAATACTCGTCATCCGGCCACATTTGTTTGAAAGGTACATCTTTTAAATTATACCATTTTGGTTGCATTTCTAAAGAAACAAGTGTGCACACGGACACGTACATTTATTTATTATCGTTTTAAACAGACGATGCTTATTTATGAAACTTATGCGCGTTAAATATTTAGTCCTTAAAACTTTCTCATTTTACTCGAGCACGTTTCAAACATTTGTACAAAATTTTATCTTGGATTCGAGTATTAACAAATAGAAGGATTCAAACGATGAAATTGCAAACGACTCGTGATCAATAATGAGAATGTTTGGTTAACGCTGACTGCATTTTAGTTAAAATCTTAATTCCTGAGAACGATACCTTCAGATTCTATTAGTTCTCCGTGGTACTGGTACGTCTCGAAGACGTGAACTTCTAGCAGAGTCTCGTCTCCTTCGAACTCGAATTCTAAGATACCAATTTTCTTCAAATCTATCGCAGATAAACCACATTCTTCGTGCAACTCGCTGTAAAGTTTTAAAAATGAAAGAGACTTCGATTTTTGCATATAAACACTGGAAATGTTGTAATAGAACAAACGCAACTTAACGTGCCGTACAGTTTGTTTTTTTCTATGTCTACTAATGTCACGATTTTAATTTATGCATTATTTATATTTATTTGACTACTTAAATCTGGACCTGCTTATACAAGGTGATTAATGGAAAACGTTTTATGTTATTCTTTATAAACGTAGATTAATGTATAATATTGTAATAAAACTATGAGATTATATCGTTGTATGTATATCGGTCTAAGGTACATTGAATATATGTTAAGAAATTCATCTATACAAATAATATTGGTAAAAAGATTTTTAATAAAATACCAATAATAATTAGTATAGACACTATTAATAGCTAATATAGTATTTAACGAAAGTTTATATCTATTTTGAAATTTTGCAAATATTTTCGTGATTCATCTTGCATGCTATACATAAAGACAATAAAAGTCTTTGTTGAAATTTATTGTTATTTAATGTGATTCTTACGAAATATAAAATGTTGTTGAACACGATATCCTTAATTTTCTATTTAAACGAGTTTTACTTGAAAAAGAATCAAGTTAACCGGAATGAATTGTACACGTCTACCTCAGTGTACACGAAATAATTACGATTATCGAAAACAATTTACCGAATAGCTCCTTGAAGAATTGTTTCTCCTGCTTCCACTTTACCGCCAAAACCGTTCCATTTACCTTTCCCAAATCCTCGTTTTTTTAAACCTAATAAAACCTCTGTTGCCTTCCTGATAAACACCAACGAAAAGATTTTCCTCACAGACATGTTGCTTTCATTCATCAAATTTATTTAGGAAGTCAAAAGATATTACGTGTCGTGTACCATTCCTCCACGAGAATAAGGCACAGCGTGTTCAAATCCCCACTTCTGTTGCAGCCCACTGACTCACAGGTATTGGTCGAGAACTGTGACGAGGTCAGCCAATCAGCGGGCTGCAGCAAGAGTGGGGATGTAAACACGCTGTGGCTTCTTTTCGTGAAAGGACACTGTTCGGAGCAGTGATGGACATTCGTGGAAATTTTGGTCATGCGCACTGGAGCGCATGATCACTGCCGTATACACTTAACTAGAATTTAGAATTTAGGGTACCGTTGGATCCCAGTGAGGAACAAAATTTAAGAAAGTTATAGGGAAAGAGACAGAAACAAAAAATTTCCTCTTAATCTACGCGAGTATAGCTGGAGAAATACGTAGGGGATCTTCGATAAGTTAACTTTTGTGTGATTGGCGAGCATTTGAAGTAGAAAGTTCAATTTTGTACAAACATGCATCTCTTTTTGCGCTAAAGATACATCTATGGTAGCTGTGACGTCAGCTTACGCATGCGCAGAAATAAATTCCACGAAAATTCCAGTGCGCATGACCAAACTTCCCACGATATCCATCACTGTCTCGCTACATTTAATTCGCGTTCTTCGTCACGCGATGGAATTGTAGTTGTGAACAGCCCAGCCAATAACGATAATGCGTGTGAGGACGGGCGTCGCTATTACGCTACGGCCAATCAGCGTGCGTAGCCACAAGTCATCTCTGTATTTTGAAAATTGTTATAGCGGTGACATAAAGTTAGCTTTGCCTTATTAGATCAAGAACGACTCAACCACGAAGACAATAAAATCTAAAATATTTTAAGGGTTATGATGATCGAAGGACATACGTAATATCAAGTGTCGTTTTCTGATTTCCCGCCCTTAGCGAGGCTCATATTCTTTGTAGAAAATAAAAATCTCCATCCATTTGTGTATAAAAATTAAAAACCCTGTACACGTTGATTCTTTAAAAAATTATGAAACCGAGCAATCGAAAACTCGACATTTTGGGTTTTAAAAAAAAAATACTGCTTACTACCTTTGCTGGTTTCATTTTTGTTATTAAATGTATCTAAAAATTTCTATTATACAGTTCGCAGTTAGTACAATTTATATCAGTAATATTTGATTTTATTAGCACTTGCACGGTGTTAAACAAGTAACACGAACAATGTATATGTATATTTAATTTCTTTTTTAAAGAAGTCTATTGCATTATTGGAAATACGTATGAAACAATAAAATCTTTTATTCGCTATTTTCAATAATTTTACTGTCTTCCGATGCTGGCTGTGGATACTTACGCCTTGGATATATTGACTTATATCGAGTCATTGCTCTTTCATATGCTTTTGTACTTTCTGAACTATCCTGCGATCAATTAAGTAAAGTATTAAATGTATATTTCATCGCATATTGTCAAGAATGTACAGTATCGCTTATACTTTGCATTATTTGATCAAAACTAATGTAACTTGCATTCCGTATTACCTGTTTATGTATCGCATACAAATCGAGGAACTTTCGTGTAGGACTCGCTTTATTATCTTGCAGGGACATCGATGGTAAAAACTTCATATCGTTGTGAAATTTTCTATCAAATAATAGCACATTTTAAACACAAACACATTTAACATAAAATTTCTGCGTAAATCATGCTTACGCTCTTACTAAATCCTCCTCGTAATAAATATTTCTTAGCGGCTCTTTAGAACCTGGTCTGTCATAACGCGGCTCATATATCGGGGGAAAAGTTTTATATACTTCGTACCATATCGGTATATTTTCATCCTTCATAGTACCGCCTCGTATCAATTGCGTTATTCTAAAATTGGAAGCATCTTATATAATAGAGCGACAGTAACAATATTTATATTATTAGTCTATTTCTCATTTGTGAATTCTCGACGAGATTCAATGTTTTTGTTACCATTTAAATTTTTAATATATAATGGCTGTAACAATTTCATATGTACATATCATACACTACATAACCTGTTTCGTGTGAAATTTACGAACGCTGAAAAACTAGCTATAAAGTGATCTTTACCTCGAGTAAATCGTTCCAACCCGGTCTAGTCTAGAATGCGCCATAATTTATGTGCGAAATCTGAATTCAGAAATAAAATTCCAACATACGAAAACAATGGCTCGGTTACTCCAATTTTTATGACGTTTAGCCCGACTCCTGATGTAAACGAACATGTGATCTAACCTATTCAGATTTAACTTGAACGTTTTCGTGTAATAACATTGTTCGAAAGGGTTCCAAATTCAAAGATCTTTTATAATCGTCGCGTAAAGAAGTGTCAAGGTCGATATCTGTCCTGAAATTTCCTAAATCGACGGTACAGTGATATTCGATTAAAGGTTGAAAAAATTAACTAAAAATTCGAGAAAAAAAAATATGTTGGAAGTGAGCGAAAATGAGATTGTTGCGATAGGTCGTGTATTAAACGACAAGAGTCGTCCGCTTAAGGAAAGATTTCGCGCGTTGTTCACTTTAAAAAATATTGGCGGCTCTAAGGCCATAGAACAAATTCATAAATGTTTCAAAGATGAATCAGCATTGTTAAAGCACGAACTCGCGTACTGTCTTGGTCAGATGCAAGATCCTTACGCTATACCCATTCTTATAGAGGTATTAACAGACATTACGCAAGAACCGATGGTTCGCCACGAAGCAGGTACGTTATATTTAATTTTCAATCGTAGATTCATTTACGAAGAGTTTTGTTTGCTTCAGGCGAAGCTTTAGGCGCGATAGGCGAAACCAGCGTAATACCGGTATTAGAAGACTATAGCAAAGACTGTGTACCTGAGGTAGCGGAAACCTGTCAGTTGGCGTTGTGTCGACTGCGATGGTTAAAATCGCATTACACTCCGATAAATTTAGAAAAGAGCCCTTACATGTCGGTGGATCCGGCACCACCGGCTGAAATCACAGACGTCGATAAGTTAAAGGGCATTCTTTTAAGCGAAACCACTCCGTTGTTCGAAAGATATAGAACTATGTTCTCTTTAAGGAATATACGTACACAAAAAAGCATTCTTGCTCTTAGCGAAGGTAAATCGAATAATATCAAAAGATTCTATCGTATTGAACGTTAATACCGTTTTGTGTTTATAGGTTTAAAAGCGGGCAGTGCTTTATTTAGGCATGAAATAGCTTTTGTTCTTGGACAGCTGCAAGAAGAAATCTGCGTGCCATATTTGCAAGCTTCTTTGGAGGATGCGGAGGAAAATGAAATGGTGCGACACGAGTGTGCAGAGGCTTTAGGCTCCATCGCCACTCCGGATTGTTTCAAAATATTACGCAAGTATCTGAACGATAACAAAAGAGTTGTACGTGAGAGTTGCATAATTGCGTTGGATATGTGCGAGTATGAGAACAGCGTAGAGTTTCAGTATGCAGACACGTTGGAGAAGGTCACTGCTTGAAATTGTATTTCTGTGTATTTGTAAATAAATTCAGCATTCTACACGATAAATGTACCAAAAGTAAATAAAACTGAATATTATAATATTTCGTTACTGTTGTCGTTTATTTGAAATTAGGCGGGCTTAACAGAAACAGCTCGCTGGCGACGGAACATGTTTTATTTCTGTACCGTCTAAATAATTATCATGAATGCTTGTTTTGTTGTTGTTTATTAAAAGGATGGTATTTTTTGAGAGAGCGTAGGCAGTCAAAGACGTGGCTGAGGGGTTGCTCCATCCGAAGATCACAATTTTGCATTAATTACATAACAAAATATAATGAAATCTTTAATGACCTTTGTTGTTACATACTATTCCTGTTGCACGTAAATTTGTTGCGGGTAGTTGGCGTTAAAAAGACAATTAGAAAAAACAAAAAAAACATTAATAAATTAAACGAATATGTGGTTCATTAATTTTCCTCCGTGATCATTTCGGGTTTCGTGTGTTCTTCCGTGATCTTTTCCTTCGGCTTGCAGCTGCGTTTCTTTAGAATATCCTGGATTTCCTTGAAAGATTTACGGGACGTTTCCGGCATAACGACAGCCGCAGCAGTGGCTATGACAAGTTCGATAACACCGAACACGTAAAGTATCACTGGATAGCCCCCAGCGTCGATGATAAGCGGGTAACATTGGGCTACGATTATGTACAGGAAGGCTCCGCAAATACCCGTGACCATGGTCGCCCAATGTCTCACTTTCATCGAGAAGATTTCCGAAGACACGATTGCTGGTATGGGGGCCAAACCGATGGAAAGGAAAATATAATAAACAAGAATAATGGCTAGGGGCGCCCAACCAAAGCTGCTCAGGTTCATTTTTTTGCTGAGGAGGAAGTAGGTTGCTAGGAGGCAGAGGCACAGACCAGTGACATAACCTGATACCAAAAACAGGGGCTTTCTACCGATTCTGTCGACGACGAACGAGGATAGTATACCTATCGCTATGGCCACCGCGGTCAATATAAGAAGAACGTGCGCGTTCCTTATTTTAAAAGGTATTTCTTTCAATAGATGATCTAAACGCGATTGGATAGTTAGGAATCCGGAGAGTTGTTGAGCCGCCAGTAACAGCAACACCAACAAAAGTGCTCTTCTGTTCGCACAGTCCGTGAATAGTTCTTTCAATCCTTCCTTCTCTTCCGTCTTTACGAATTCGGAGATTTCCTCTAGCTCTCGTTTGTTGTCTGTCGTGTTTCTCAGCCATATCAAGGACAGGTTGGCGTGCTTCTCCTTCTTTTTCTTCAGGTAGTAGTATGGCGATTCCGGTAACCATATAGCCGTTAACATGAATACCACAGTTGGCGCCAAACAAACGATGGATAGTATCTGAAACAATAAATTGCAAAGTGTAACGAAATAATGTTTTATAGAAACGGATTGAGAAATGTTTACATTGGATTATTTCTAGTCGTCGCGCGGGGGAGTCCCATTCGGATCGGTCTCATAGGTGGCGACACTGCATTCCTCAACACACCTTTATTAATTTTTTTTTTAACTAAATGATACATCTGACGCTATAATTAATTTTCGCAAGTTATTGAACTACTTTTTGGGGATACGAAATAAATTTTTCGTTAATTTTTATTTACCTTTCACGTTTTTATTACGCCCGCAGTAAACATGAGGTGTACTATCGAGAAGGACTTTCGATTTTTGTTATACCTTGGATTCTTATGTATTTTGGCATGCTGATTACGAGTATGATAGTGAAAATTGGCGCAAATATTACTTTCAAAGCGGAAACCATGAAAAAATGATAAAAATCATGGTTTTTTTATTTACTTCCGTAAATAATGGGTATTTTGAAAAACACTTCAGATAAAAGTTGAAGATCTCATCAAAATACACATTTTATGTCCTATTGATTTTTATCATACAGATAATAGTTTTTTAGAAAAACGATATTAAATGCTCAAAACATAAAAATCATGGTTTTTTTATTTACTTCCGTAAATAATGGGTATTTTGAAAAACACTTCAGATAAAAGTTGAAGATCTCATAAAAATACACACTTTAAGACCTATTCATTTTTGTCATACAAATAGTAGTTTTTGAGAAAAACGATATTAAATGCTCAAAACATAAAAATCATGGTTTTTTTATTTACTTCCGTAAATAATGGGTATTTTGAAAAACACTTCAGATAAAAGTTGAAGACCTCATAAAAATACACACTTTAAGACCTATTCATTTTTGTCATACAAATAGTAGTTTTTGAGAAAAACGATATTAAATGCTCAAAACATAAAAATCATGGTTTTTTTATTTACTTCCGTAAATAATGGGTATTTTGAAAAACACTTCAGATAAAAGTTGAAGATCTCATCAAAATACACACTTTAAGACCTATTCATTTTTGTCATACAAATAGTAGTTTTTGAGAAAAACGATATTAAATGCTCAAAACATAAAAATCATGGTTTTTTTATTTACTTCCGTAAATAATGGGTATTTTGAAAAACACTTCAGATAAAAGTTGAAGATCTCATCAAAATACACACTTTAAGACCTATTCATTTTTGTCATACAAATAGTAGTTTTTGAGAAAAACGATATTAAATGCTCAAAACATAAAAATCATGGTTTTTTTATTTACTTCCGTAAATAATGGGTATTTTGAAAAACACTTCAGATAAAAGTTGAAGATCTCATCAAAATACACATTTTATGTCCTATTGATTTTTATCATAAAGATAATAGTTTTTTAGAAAAACGATATTAAATGCCGTTTGAAAATGGAACCACTTTTATGGGGTTTTTCTCATTTTAAGATGTCAAGGAACAGCTTTTCGAATATTCTTGGAATTTCTACATATTTTCCACTAAAATATGCGTTGTTTGCCTTTTGAAACATTAAAATCCCCCAATCTGTCCTGAAGTTATGATATTTTAAACGTTTGTATGCAAGGTAACATTTTAATGGGGGACTCTAGAGGCAAAAATAAGACGAAATTTTTTCTAAAAAATGCGCAGAATTTCGAGGGTATGTCTATTCACCAAAAATGATTGTAATTGACCCCCGCAACCGAAAATAATTTTTCCAAAACGATTTGAAATTTTTTTTTTCCGTCGAAAAATTTCACACCTTCTTGAATTTTTTTCTAGAAAGTGGGTAGGATTTCGGGGGTATGTCTATCCACCGAAAATGATTGTAATTGACCCTCGCAACCGAAAATAATTTTTCCAAAACGATTCGAAACATTTCATTTTCGCCGAAAAAGGGGTCGATTTTTCTTAAAAATTCGTTTTTCATTTTTAGTAATTTTATTTGACGCCCTACAGAGATGTTGTTTAATACCTTTTTGTAGGTACCCATGAGCTCTACTTTAACAAAAAATTTCAATGAGATACGTTCGCTATTGTAGGAGTTAAGGCCGTTTGAAAATTGAACCACTTTTATGGGCTTTTTCTCATTTTAAGATGTCAAGGAACAGCTTTTCGAATATTTTTAGAATTTCTATATATTCTTCACTAAAATACGCGTCATTTACAATTTGGAACATTAAAATCCTTCAATCCCTACAGGAGTTATGGTTTTTTAAACATATGCATGGAATTTCAGGGAAACATTTCTAACCTAACATTATATTTTCGAAAAAGAATTTTTTTCTCGAAAGCGCGTCGGATTTCGGTGGTATGTATATTGACTAAAAATGATTGCAATTTACGCTAGCAAACAAAAATAATTTTTCCAGAACGATTGCAAATTTTTTAATTTTGGCAAATTTGTCCACCTACTCAAATTTGTTTCTCGAAAGTGCGTAGAATTTCGGGGGTTTGTATATCGACCAAAAATGATTGTAAGTGACCCTCGCAATCGAAAATAATTTTTCCAATACGATTTGAAAAATTTCTTTTTCGTCGAAAAATTTCACACTTTCTCGAATTTTTTACTAGAAAGTGAGTAGGATTTCGAGTGTGTGTGTAATGACCAAAAATAATTGTAATTGACCCCCACAACCGAAAACAATTTTTTTAGAATAATTTGAAATATTTTTTTTCGCCGAAAAATTTCAGCATCTACTCCAATTTTTTTCTCGAAAGTGCGTCGAATTTCGAGGGTGTGTGTAATGACAAAAAATAATTGTAATTGACCCCCGCAACCGAAAATAATTTTTCCAGAACGATTTGAAATTTTTGAATTTAATTGTCAATAACTTTTTAACGAAACCTCCATCAACAAATTGGTATTCTTGATTTTCGTCTTATTTTGGCCTCTAGAATCTCCCATTAAAATTTTTCTTCCAAAAAATGAATTAATTTTTTTGAGGTCTCACACGAGACTACCGCCTTAAAGAGTTGCGTTACCTTTGGGTCTATTTTCATCGCATGGACTCCTTGTACGAGCAGAAATCCTATATTGAAGAAGACGGGTATCATCGTGCCGACGACCCCTCTGATTTTCGTCTCGACAATTTCACCAAGATACAGGGGAACCACGGAGAAAATGGCTCCAACCGAAACACCGGCAAGCAGTCTACCCACTAAAAGCAGTGTCCAAGTTTTGACCACGAAGGCGAGAACCCAACAGGCGATGAATGGTATCGATGTCAGATAGAGGAACCATTTCCTGCTTATTCGATCTATCAGTAAAGCAGACGCGATCGGACCGATGAGGGCGCCTAATGGCACACCGAGGCTTATCCATTTTTCCTGTTTCGGAACCTTGGTGGAATTGGACATCGAATAGGCATAGCAAGCTCCACACGAGAGTACCGATATGTTTACTGTAAAAGATTCATTATGTGTAAGATATAAACAGTTAAATTCGATTTCTCGTTAAAAAATACAAACCACGTTGTCGATAGTTTAAATTAAAAATTTTAAAGGGAGATTCTAGAGGCCAAAATAAGACGAAAATCGAGGATACTAATTTGTTGATTGAGGCTTCGTTGAGAAGTTATAGAAACATTTTTGGCCACAGAGTATATTTTCGGTAAAGAATTTTTTTCTCGAAAGAGCTTAGGATTTCGAGGATATGTGTATTGACCAAAAATGATTGTAATAAACCCCTGCAACCAAAAATAATTTTTTCAAAACGATTTGAAATTTTTTAATTTTTAGGGTGAGAAACAGTTATGATCAGACATATTTTCAGTAATGAATTTTCTTTCTTGAAACTACGTAGAATTTCGGGGTATTTCTAATGACCAAAACTGATTATAATTCATCCCTGCACCTGGAAATAATTTTTCCAGAATGATTTGAAATTTTTTAATTTTTAGGGTAACAGACTTTATGATCAGACATTATACTTTGGGTAATGAATTTTTTTCTCGAAAGTACGTAGAATTTCGAGGGTATGTGTATTGACCAAAAATGATTGTAATTAACTCCTGCTACCAAAAATAATTTTTTTAGAGCGGTCTAAAATTTTTTAATTTCGCTCAAAGTTTATAGAAATTCCCGAATTTTTTTCTCAAAAATGCTTAACATTTCGGAGGTATGTGTATGGACCATTAATGATTATAATTAACCCCTGCAACCAATAATAATTTTTCCAGAACGATTTGAAATTTTTTAATTTTGTTGAAAAATTTGTCCACTTTCCTAAATTTTTTTCTCGAAAGTGTGTAGGAATTCGCGGATATGTGTATTGACCAAAAATGATTGTAATAAACCCCTGCAACCAAAAATAATTTTTTCAAAACGATTTGAAATTTTTTAATTTTTAGGGTGATAAACAGTTATGATCAGACATATTTTCAGTAATGAATTTTTTTTCTTGAAACTACGTAGAATTTCGGGGTATTTCTAATGACCAAAACTGATTATAATTCATCCCTGCACCTGGAAATAATTTTTCCAGAATGATTTGAAAGTTTTCAATTTTTAGGGTAACAGACAGTTATGATCAGACATTATATTTTGGGTAATGAATTTTTTTCTCGAAAGTACGTAGGATTTCGAGAGTATTTGTATTGACCAAAAATGATTGTAATTAACTCCTGCAACCAAAAATAATTTTTTTAGATCGATCTAAAATTTTTTAATTTCACTCAAAGTTTATAGAAATTCCCGAATTTTTTTCTCGAAAATGCTTATCATTTTGGGGGTATGTGTATGGACCATTAATGATTATAATTAACCCCTGCAACCAAAAATAATTTTTCCAGAACGATTTGAAATTTTTTAATTTTGTTGAAAAATTTGTCCACTTTCCTAAATTTTTTTCTCGAAAGTGTGTAGGATTTCGAGGATATGTGTATTGACCAAAAATGATTGATATTAACTCCTGCAATCAAAAATAATTTTTTTAAAGCGGTCTAGAACTGTTTAATTTCGCCAAAAAATTTATAGAAATTCCCGAATTTTTTTCTCGAAAATACGTAGGATTTCGAGGGTATGTGTATTGATAAAAAATGATTGTAATTAACCCTTCCAACCAAAAATAATTTTTGTAGAACGATTCGGAATTTTTTAATTTTGTCAAAACATTTGTCCACTTTCCTAAATTTTTTTCTCGAAAGTGTGTAGGATTTCGGGGATATGTCTGTTCACCAAAAATGATTGTAATTGACCCCCGCAACCAGAAATATTTTTTCCGTGAATGATTTCAAATTTTTTAATTAAATTTTTTAATAACTTTTTAACAATACCTCGATCAACAAATTAACATTCTTGATTTTCGTCTTATTTTGCCCTCTAGAATCTTCCAATTAAATTTTTCTCAGGAGTGGTCGAACACCCTCTATTTATTTCGATAGAATTGCATTAATATAATTTCCGGTCGACGCAAGTAGCTTTGTTGCGAACTTTAAGCTATAAACTACTAAATTTCCATTCGTTTTCTCGTTAAAAGAATACAAAACTCGTTGTCGACAGTTTAAACCGTGATATGTACTATGTCGATTAATATCTCATACTTATTTATTTCGAAAGAATTCCATTAATATAATTTCCGGTCGACGCAAGTAGCTTTGTTGCGAACTTTGATATAATCCCAGCAACTTGACGAGACCAATCACGTTTTCTCTTGTATGATTCGAATAACCAAATAGTTCCACGCGTACGGAATATGAATTCGCTATGTTTTTATGGAACAGGAAGTTTCCAACAAAGGTATTAGTAAAAGTTCAGTCGTCATTTATTTTAATCGGGTAAACGAACAATTATTTTACCGCTGTAAGAGCGTCAGAATATTTCTAGCCTAGTATAAATTTGTTAAAGAATATTTACTTATGATACTAGCTATTAATTGCGGGCGAATTTTCTGTTTCCCCTTGGCACATCCATTTTCTTCCATGTTTCCCGTACTTGTACCTGAAAAGGAACATTTCAGTGTTAGTAATCCGAACGCTAAAAAGTTCGATTCTCCCAGCGAGAAGAAACCGTATCTTCGTCGCTGAGTACGAAGCATCGAACGCAAGCTTGATGGCCTTACCATTCTTATTGTTAGAATCTGTACGTGAATGAAATGCGAAGCACGTGAATCGATGTTGCAATTATGCCACCTGACAGGTGCGAGTGCAGTTGCTTTTGTCTTGAACAAGTTACTCTTCAATCATTGCACGTTCCGTTCCAAACGTAACGAACTATTTCTTCAAACTAAGAATATCAAATTGACTATGCAGTCAATCCGACCAATATTTTTCGGACATTCTTAGAATTTTTAGAATATTCTCCGCCAAAATACGCGGGGTTTGCATTTTGAAACATTAAAATCCTCCAATCCGTTCGGAAGTTACGATGTTTTAAAGATACGCATTTTCAGGGTAAGAGACAGTTATGGTCAGACATTATATTTTAATAATTCATTTTTTTCTCGAAAATGCGTAGGATTTCGAGGGTATGTCTGTTCACAAAAAATGATTGTAATTGGTCCACCCTACTGAAAATAATTTTTCCAGAATGATTTGAAATTTTTTAATTTCGTTGAAAAATTTCTGCAGCTATTGAATTTTTTTTCTCGAAACTGCGTAATATTTCGAGGGTATGGCTAATGACAAAAAATGATTGTAATAGGTCCCCGCAAATGAAAATAATTTTTCCGGAATTATTGGAAACTTTTCGATTTTCAGGGTAACAGACAGTTATGATCAGACATTATAGTTTAATAATGAATTTTTTTCTCGAAAATGTGTAGGATTTCGAGGGTATGCCTATAGACCAAATATGATTGCAATTGATCCCCACAATTGAAAATAATTTTTCCAGAATGATTTGAAATTTTTTAATTTCGTTGAAAAATTTCTGCAGCTATTGTATTTTTTTTCTAGAAACTGCGTAGTATTTCGGGGGTATGGCTAATGACAAAAAATGATTGTAATAGGTCCCCGCAAATGAAAATAATTTTTCCGGAATTATTGAAAACTTTTCAATTTTCAGAGTAACAGACAGTTATAGTCAGACATTATATTTTAATAATGAATTTTTTTCTCAAAAATGCGTAGGATTTCGAAGTTATGTCTATTCACAAAAAATGATTGTAATTGGCCCACCCTACTGAATATAATTTTTCCAGAATGATTTGAAATTTTTTAACTTCGCTGAAAAATTTGTGTAGCTATTGAATTTTTTTTCTCGAAACTGCGTAAGATTTCAAGAGTATGTCAATAGACCAAATATGATTGCAATTGATCCCCGTAATTGAAAATAATTTTTTTAGAACGATCTGATATTTTTTAACTTCGCTGACAAATTTCTGCAGCTATTGAATTTTTTTTCTCGAAACTGCGTAGGAATTCGTGGGTATGGCTAATGACAAAAAATGATTGTAATATGTCCCCGCAAATGAAAATAATTTTTCCAGAATGATTTGAAACTTTTTAATTTTCAGGGTAACAGACAGTTATGATCAGACATTATATCTTCAGTAATGAATTTTTTTTCTTGAAACTGCTTAGGATTTCGAGGGTATGTCTAATGACCAACAATGATCGTAATTGACCTCTGCAACTGGAACTAATTTTTCCAAAATGATTTGAAATTTTTTAATTTTGCTGAAAAATTTTATACATTCTCGAATTTTTTTCTCAAAAGTGAGTAGGATTTCGAGGGTATGTCTATTCACCAAAAATTATTGTAATTGACCCCTGCAACCGAAAATAATTTTTTCAGAATAATTTGAAACTTTTCAGTTTCGCCGAAAAAGTCCATTTATTAAATTTTTTTTCTCAAAATTGCGTAGGATTTCGAGAGTATGTCTACTGACCAAAAATGATTGCAATTGAGCCCCGCAACAGAAAATAGTTTTTTCAGAATAATATGAAATTTTTTTTTTGCTGAAATATATTCTCCACCTACAAATTTATTTATAAAATTCCCTACGCCTTATTGGTCAACTGTTTACTATTTACGTCACTGCTGAATGGATTACTTTGTTCGTGTCAAGTATAATCCGTAACATTTACCGAATAATAGTCGTACGTTCCGGATAATCGGGACTTCACAAACAAATTATCACATATATGTAATAAAAATTTTCACAAATCTCTGGAAAAACTTAATTCGCAATATCGCGAATATGATCTGCAAAATGATTAATTTGCCGTGCAAAACCTATATGCATACATTGTGTAAAATAAGTTCCCGGAATATCTCACTTTCAAATCCCACAGTGCATTTATTGAAACAAATTTTTGTGTGTAAGTAGGCAACATTGTATTCAGTTGTTACGCTAAATTTGATCGCAATATGAGAACCAGTGTGTTCACGGCAGTTATTTACACCAGTCGATCTCGAGTGTGCACTGCGATTTTTGCGATGGAAATAACTGTCGACCAAAGAATTTGCCTTAAATTTTGCGTTTCTAACGAAATTTCTTCTGTCGAAGCATTAAAAATGTTACAGAAAGCCTATGGTAAGTGGTGCCTATCAAAAACGCAAACATACGAATGGTGCAAGGCATTTAAAGAGGGCCGAGAAGAAGTGCAAGATTTGCCGCGTGCCGGCCGACCAATGGTTTCGACCGACGAAAACATCGAAAAGATAAAAAAAATGGTCATCGATAATCGTCGTCTGAGTGTTAGAGAGCTGGCTCATGAAGTGGAAATTCCTCACACGTCCGTGCATAACATTTTAACTGAAGTTTTGGGCACGAGACGCGTCGCTGCACGACTTGTTCCGAAGGAGCTGAATCTTCTGCAAAAAGAACATCGAAAAGCAGTTGTTGAAGACATGATTTCACAAGCTTCTAGTGACTTTACCTTCATGAAACGCATCATAACCGATGATGAAACATGGGTTTATGAGTACGATACGCAAACAAGTCAACAATCTTCGGAATATCGCTTAGAGAATGAACCAAACCCTAAAAAACCGCGTCAAAGTCGCTCGAAAATTAAGGTCATGCTCACCGTTTTCTTTGATTATCGTGGTGTTGTTCATTCGGAATTCCTTCCAGATGGACAAACAGTAAATAAAGAATATTATTTGAGCGTCACGAGACGCTTGCGTGAAAATATTCGTCGGAAACGGCCGGATGCGTGGAAAAACAATTCTTGGATCCTGCACCACGATAATGCTCCGTCGCACACATCGATCTTGGTACGCGAATTTTTGGCCAAGAACTCAACAAACGTGATCGAACAAACACCGTGTTCACCAGATATGGTCCCCTGTGACTTTTTCTTATTTCCGAAACTCAAACTACCCCTTCGAGGATGGCGTTTAGAGTCGACAGAGGCCATAAAAGAAAATACGCAGAAGGAGCTGAAGGCGCACCTTCTTCAGCGTTTAAAAAGTGTTTTGAATACTGAGAGAAGCGTTGGCGTATGTGCATTGCTTCTGATGGGGTCTATTTTGAAGGCGACAAAATAAATTTCGATGATTAAGTTAGCAATTTGAGTTTTATTTACAAATTCCTGGGTACTTATTTTACGTAATGTACATATAGGTCAGTAATAGCGAGTTCAGCGACCAATGGCCTGTAGCAGAGAAATCGGTTGACCGATCTTTAATTGGTTGATTGTTGATAGGTGTAAATAGGCTTAATCGTTTAATCGTTTAAACGCGTGGCATAATAGCGGCGATAAAGTGGAGGGGATATATTTAAAATAGCATTAGATAGGCAGAGCGGTTAGTCGGGCTCGAGGAGCGAGTTAGTCGTCGTCCAACCGTGTCAGCGATTGAGCGAATTTAAACGACGCGACGGTATCGTGGCACGTGACATATCATACAGAATTACGGTAATTGCAGTGACGAGAATTGACCGCTTGCCCCCTGATAACCGGCGAAACGCGACGCGATCTAGACAGATCGATCTATCCAACGATCCTCTGAACCATTGCACAGTGATCTGGAAAGCAATAGGTACCCGACGAAAACAAAACAAAAGTCAGTTAAAAAAGTCTTTGCTTAAATATCTCGACGACAGTTCTTCCCCTGTAAAATTATAAATTCGAAACCTTTCGTACTATGTTGCATCGTGAAGCCATCGATCTTGAAGATCTAATATTTCACTTTCGATGCGATATCAGCGACCTCGAATACCCTCGATCATCAAGTTTCCTTAGTTTACGATCGAGTACAGTAAAATTATTATGAAATATTATATTTGATAAAAATTGTTATGAAATATCATATTTGATAGAAAAATCAGATACGAAATTCTTGTTTCGACTAGTTTTCAAATGAATGCCCAATGAAAATTAATTTCCCGAAGATGTCACGTTTCGAGAAGCTTCGAAAAATAATTATCGTCTTGACGATCTGTTTTTTCGTTTTTTTTTTTTCCCCCAAAAAGGATTTCGAAGATGGATACGTTCCTTCGTTTGTTCGGGATCTCGACGGACGACAACAGAATCGATCAGGCGACGGGATTGACGGAAAAACAAAAGAAATTGGTGAAGAACACGTGGGCTGTGATAAGAAAGGACGAAGTTGGGTCCGGAATCGCAGTAATGACCGCGTAAGTGGCACTTTTCTTGACGAAATAAGAATTCTTTAAGTAATGAACATCGCATCGTTTTTTTGAAAAAATAAAATCACCAATTTCCCGTCCATTTCTAATTTACAAACATTTTCTAATTACAAATATCGATACACTCTGTTCATTCAACGCGAATGGCTGGAATTTCTTTAAAAGCGTTACGATAACCTTCGAGATCACAGATCAACTTGATAATTTACGTAATCGATTCTTGCGTCAGAAGAAATGCGTTAGAAAACAGTTCTGATGCAACTCTTGAAGTACTTGCTGTTTATGATTTTATAAACGATCATTTTCAGATTCTTTAAAAAATATCCAGAATATCAGCGGTACTTTACTGCCTTCAAGGACATTCCAATGAACGAACTGCCAAATAATAAAAGTTTTCAGGCTCATTGTGCTAGCGTAATTACGGCGTTAAGTAATGTTATCGATTCCTTGCATGACCCAGGATTAATGGAGGCAAGTTTAATCGGCTTGGCCCAGAGGCATAAGAATCGCGGTCAAAGAAAAGAGGAATTTCAGGTATGAATAATAGAAAATTAACAATAATCGCGAGATTTTATAAAAAATGTTGAAATTTTCTATCAGAATTTAATTCGAAGCGACGACAACAACGTGGCTAAAACTGATTTTCTTCTGAAACGATGTTTTCATAACAAACATGTATGTGTATTCATAAAAAAATGATTGTAATTAACCCCCAAGATCGAAAATAATTTTTTTTAGAACGATTTGAAATTTTTTTTTTAGTCGAAAAATTTGGCCTTCTTTCTGAATTTTTTTCTCGAAAATGTGTAGGATGTAGGAGGTAATTGTATTGACCAAAAATGATTGTAATTAACTCCCAAGATCGAAAATAATTTTTTCAGAACGATTTGAAATTTTTTTTAGTCGAAAAATTTGCTCTTATTCCCGAATTTTATTCTCGAAAATGTGTAGGATTTAGGAGGTACTTATATTCACCAAAAATTATTGTAATTGACCCCCAAGACCGAAAGTAATTTTTTTAGAACGATTTGATATTTTTTTTTTAGTCGAAAAATTTGCCCAAATTCCCGAATTTTTTTGTCGAAAATGTGTAGGATTTAGGAGATATTTGTATTCACCAAAAATGATGGTAATTAACCCCTAAGATCGAAAATAATTTTTTCAGGACGATTTGAAATTTTTTTTTTAGTCGAAATATTTGACCAAATTCCCGAATTTTTTTCTCGAAAATGTGTAGGATTTAGGAGATATTTGTATTCACCAAAAATGATTGTAATTGACCTCCAAGACCGACAGTAATTGTTTTAGAACGATTTGAAATTTTTTTTAGTCGAAAAATTTGCCCAAATTCCCGAATTTTTTTCTCGAAAATGTGTAGGATTTAGGAGGTATTTGTATTCACCAAAAAGGATGGTAATTAACCCCCAAGACCGACAGTAATTTTTTCAGAACGATTTGAAATTTTTTTTTTAGTCGAGAAATTTGCCCAAAGTCCCGAATTTTTTTCTCGAAAATGTGTAGGATTTAGGAGGTATTTGTATTCACCAAAAACGATGGTAATTAACCCCCAAGACCGACAGTAATTTTTTCAGAACGATTTGAAATTTTTTTTTTAGTCGAGAAATTTGCCCAAAGTCCTGAATTTTTTTCTCGAAAATGTGTAGGATTTAGGAGGTATTTGTATTCACCAAAAACGATGGTAATTAACCCCCAAGACCGACAGTAATTTATTCAGAACGATTTGAAATTTTTTTTTTAGTCGAGAAATTTGCCCAAAGTCCTGAATTTTTTTCTCGAATATGTGTAGGATTTAGGAGGTATTTGTATTCACCCAAAATGATTGTAATTGACCTCCAAAACCGACAGTAATTTTTTTAGAACGATTTGAAATTTTTTTAGTCGAAAAATTTGCCCAAATTCCCGAATTTTTTTCTCGAAAATGTGTGGGATTTAGGAGGTATTTGTATTCACCAAAAATGATGGTAATTGACCTCCAAAACCAACAGTAATTTTTTTAGAACGATTTGGATTTTTTGTTTAGTCGAAAAATTTCTTCCCCGATCGATTTTTCTTAGAAATTCGTTTTCCATTTTTGGTAAATTTGTTTGACTTTCTATGGAAATTTTGTTTAGTACTTTTTAGTAGGTATCCATGAGCTTTACTTCCACACTAAATTTCATTGGGATATGTTTGCTATTGTAAAAGTTATGGTCGTCTGCAAATTGGACCATTTTTCTAGTGTTTTTCTCAATTTGGAATATTAAGGGACAACTTTTCGAATATTCTTGGAATTTCTACATATTCTCCAGTAAAATAAGCGTTGTTTGCCTTTTGGAACATTAAAATTTTCCAATCCATTCAGAAGTTATGATATTTTAAACATTTGAATGAAATTTCTAACCTCACACTATATTTTCGGTAAAGAATTTTTTTTCTCGAAAGTGCGTAGGATTTCGAAGGTACTTGTATTCGCCAAAAATGATTGTAATTAACCCTCAAAACCAAAAATAATTTTTTCAGAACGATTAGTATTTTTATTTTCGTTAAAAAATTTAGGCACCATCAATTTTTTTTAAAATTTCGTTCTTAATTTTTAATACATTTGTTTGACGCTCTACAAAAATGTGGTCCAATACTTTTTTATAGGTATCCATGAGCTTTACTTCCAGGCTAAATTTCATTGGAACATATTCACTATTGTATGAGTTATAGTCGTCTGAAAATTGGACCATTTTTCTAGTGTTTTTCTCAATTTGGAGTATTAAGGGACAACTTTTCGAATATTCTTGGAATCTCCACATATTCTTCACTAAAATAAGCGTTGTTTGCATTGTGAAACATTAAAATCCTTCAATCCACTCAGAAGTTATGATGTTTTAAACATTTGCATGAAATTTCTAACCTCACACTATATTTTCGGTAAAGAATTTTTTTTCTCGAAAGTGCGTAGGATTTCGAAGGTACTTGTATTCGCCAAAAATGATTGTAATTAACCCTCAAAACCAAAAATAATTTTTTCAGAACGATTAGTATTTTTATTTTCGTTAAAAAATTTAGGCACCATCAATTTTTTTTTAAATTTCGTTCTTAATTTTTAATACATTTGTTTGACGCTCTACAAAAATGTGGTCCAATACTTTTTTATAGGTATCCATGAGCTTTACTTCCAGGCTAAATTTCATTGGAACATATTCACTATTGTATGAGTTATAGTCGTCTGAAAATTGGACCATTTTTCTAGTGTTTTTCTCAATTTGGAGTATTAAGGGACAACTTTTCGAATATTCTTGGAATCTCCACATATTCTTCACTAAAATAAGCGTTGTTTGCATTGTGAAACATTAAAATCCTTCAATCCACTCAGAAGTTATGATGTTTTAAACATTTGCATGAAATTTCTAACCTCACACTATATTTTCGGTAAAGAATTTTTTTTCTCGAAAGTGCGTAGGATTTCGAAGGTACTTGTATTCGCCAAAAATGATTGTAATTAACCCTCAAAACCAAAAATAATTTTTTCAGAACGATTAGTATTTTTATTTTCGTTAAAAAATTTAGGCACCATCAATTTTTTTTTAAATTTCGTTCTTAATTTTTAATACATTTGTTTGACGCTCTACAAAAATGTGGTCCAATACTTTTTTATAGGTATCCATGAGCTTTACTTCCAGGCTAAATTTCATTGGAACATATTCACTATTGTATGAGTTATAGTCGTCTGAAAATTGGACCATTTTTCTAGTGTTTTTCTCAATTTGGAGTATTAAGGGACAACTTTTCGAATATTCTTGGAATCTCCACATATTCTTCACTAAAATAAGCGTTGTTTGCATTGTGAAACATTAAAATCCTTCAATTCACTCAGAAGTTATGATATTTTAAACATTTGCATGAAATTTTGAGGGAGCATTTCTGGCCAGAAATTATATTTTCGGTAAAGAATTTTTTTCTCGAAAATGCGTAGGATTTCGGGGGTATGTGTACTCATAAAATATGATTGAAATTGGCCCCCTCAACCAAACAAATTTTTTTAGAACGATTTGAAATTTTTTAATTTCGCCGAAAAATTTGCCCAAATTCTCGAATTTTTTTCTCGAAAATGCTTAAAATTTCGGAGGTACATGTATTGACCGAAAGTTATTTTAATTAACCCCTGTAACCAAAAAGAATTTTTTTAGAACGATTCAGAATTTTTTAATTTTATCAAAACATTTGTCCACCTTCCTGAATTTTTTTCTCGTAAGTGTGTAGGATTTCAAGGATATGTGTATTGATAAAAAACGATTGTAATTAACCCCTGCAACCAAAAATAATTTTTTTCGAACGATTCGGAAGTTTTTAATTTTGCCGAAATAATTGTCCAAATTCCCGAATTTTTATCTCGAAAATTCGTAAGATTTTGAGGGTATCTCTATTCACCAAAAATGATTGTAATTGATCCCTGCAACCAAACATAATTTTTTTAGAACGACTCTTAGTTTTTTAATTTTGTCAAAATATTTGGCCACCTTGCTGAATTTTTTTCTCGAAAACGCGTAGGATTTTGGGGGTATCTCTATTCACCAAAAATGATTGCAATTAACCCCCGCAGCCAAACAAATTTTTTTAGAACGATTCTAAGTTTTTTAATTTTGTCAAAATATTTGGCCACCTTGCTGAATTTTTTTCTCGAAAACGCGTAGGATTTTGGGGGTATCTCTATTCACCAAAAATGATTGCAATTAACCCCCGCAGCCAAACAAATTTTTTTAGAACGATTCTAAGTTTTTTAATTTTGTCAAAATATTTGGCCACCTTGCTGAATTTTTTTCTCGAAAAAGCGTAGGATTTTGGGGGTATCTCTATTCACAAAAAATGATTGCAATTAACCCTCGCAGCCAAAAATAATTTTTTTAGAACGGTCTAGAATTGTTTAATTTCGCTAAAAAATTTGTAGAAAGTCCCGAATTTTTTTCTCGAAAATGCTTAAAATTTCGGAGGTATGTGTATTGACCAAATATGATTGTAATTAACCCCCGCAACCGAAAATAATTTTTCCCGAACGATTTGACATTTTGTAACTTCGCCGAAAAATTTGTTTTCAAAGCAAAAAAACAATTGTCCGAAAGCATGTCTTTGGTTTTCCAGAATTTGAAGGAAGTGGTATTGGAAGTTCTCTCCCAGGCATTGGGGAAACAATTCACGCCGGATGTGGCCGAAGCATGGCGGAAAACCCTCGACGCGGCGTTCGAGAAAATCTATCAAGTTTTCGCTTCGTGAAAAGACGAAACTTGGACGTAGTCGCGGGGATAACGAATCTTTCGTTTATTTTTAATAGCCACTGAGAATTAAGTACTGTATATAAAACGCACCATTTTACACGTTCGTGCAGTTACAGACTATCGAAACAAAACGAGGGAACGTTGTTGCGCGTATCAAACATAAATATACATTTTAATTTTACATTATTTTTATCTACGTTAATACGATATGTAATACACGCATATACACATTTATTATACGAATTATACCAAAGTGTGACGTTTCTATGATCAAGTACAAAGTTGATTCAGCAATGTCTCTGCCCACCAATGTCTAACATTTCTTCTTTTGTTATAAAAGATAAAGCAAATTACTTTCCACTGTTATTAATTAATGTACGTTTAAGTAAACGTAACGAAGTGCAAAGTACAGGGTACAAGTGACTCACATTGAAGAGATTAAACACGATTTTGTAATTTCCTGTTCCCATCGAGAATCGTTATCTTCGAGAAACAATCTCTCTCCCCTTTATTTATACTTATTGCATAGGTAGGAATAGTTCGATAGATACGTTATCGGTAAACGTTGACTGTTAGAAAAGAAATTATCTAAACTACAGCTAGTGCAATTAAACACATTTTCTTGATATTGAGTTCAGAATTCTGGAATAAGCAAAGATGGGTCAAGTGTCATCGAAAATTCTATAGACACGCTATTCGTGCGTCGGTAAGTATACCTCTCGTAAAAGTCGCGAAATGTGAAAATGGTGGCCATGTTTCTTTGCTGCCGAGTCGAGAATAAAACTTTGGGAAAGTAGAACGAAGAAGCTCGTCAGAAACGAGATACACGATTTTTCTGTGAAATTCTAGAATGTCTGAAAATATCCGATAGAAATATTCGTGTAGGTTGCAACAGAAAATAAATAATCGATGGTAAGAAGTTTGATTTCAATGGGAAAGGGTTATAGATGAAAATGGTTGAGGAGCAAGACCACTGTAAAAACCTGAAATAAAGCATTTCTTTGCAATTTTTTTTTTTGTATAGATAGAAAAGTAAGATTAACCATGTCGTTGAGTGTTAAAAAAGAAATATTTATTCAAATTTAGTGCAAAATTACGACGCTGGAGCCATTTCTCGCGAGGCGTGTTTTGAATTTGAGGCGCAAGTGCTCGCCAATCACGTAAAAATTGATGTTTCAAAAATCCCCTGCGTGTTTCTCTAGCTATGCTAGTCTAGATCGAGAGAAAATTTTTTGTTTTTTTCCAGATACAAATTTACGTCAGTTACACTGCGTGATAGAGAGAGCCTTTGGTTCAAGCGCCTCGCGCGAATGGCTCCAGCGTCGTTATTTTGCATTCTTTTAGAATAAATATATTTTTTTTACACTTAACGACATGGTTAATAACATTCTTGAATATTACTATCTTACTTTTCAATTCATTCAAAAAAAAAGAATAAAACATTAGGAAATTGGACTGAAAAAGCTCGTCAGAAAAGTTTCTTTTACGAGTCTCTTTTCCTTTCCTGTTAATCCGATGTTTGGATCAATGACATCATCGTCGGGATGCCCGTAAAAATTACTTAATATGGAACCCATTTTGAAAATGTTTAATTACGAATTGATTCTCTTTAATTACAACTGTCGTGAAATTCTTGTGAATTCTCCGGTTTAGAGTATTATTATCACTGAATCACTGATCTTGCTGACTAGTTTTTCTATTGCGATCGAACGAAGCATTCCTTTCTAGACTGTTACTTGGACGACTGACTTGTCCAAGCGCCAACCATGACTCGAAACGCCTGACCGAAATGTAGAACGATAAGAGGATCTCATCCGTCATTTGGTCAGGTAGTTCTCCTCTATCTCAAGTGAAATCATAATAACCAGTTAGCTGTTACCGACGAGTATACTCGTCATGAAAAAAGTGCAAAATTTTGTGTTACGACGAGTATATTCGTCATGAGTAATAAGTAGCGACAATTTGCAGTTTGAATTGCAATTTTAATGAAAACTAAAATCTATTCGTAAACTTGAAGATGTTTGAAATATTTTTAGACCCGTCGAAATAAGAGAAACAAATAAAAGTTTATGAATAATTAATATAAAAAAGACCGCATATAGTATGAATTATTTTTCGTAAATGTATCGTTGTCTTTTATTAAGCATCACAGAAGCATATACGGAGTCATATATTGGTGTTCAACGTGCGAAGTTCCATTATACATTGTACCATGGTTTGCTCAATACCATTCTCTAACAGCACGTTAACGTTAGAAATTGATTTTTCATGTTTTCTTTCGTTCGTATGCAAAATATTTATGTTAATTTAAGTAAATAAATAAATGTGGGTAATGAAATAAAAAAATAAAAGTTATTTTGTTACAACCTAATATCATATTACACGTGTTTTGTGTTTGACGAGTATACTCGTTATCGATACATTACTGCGTCACAATTTAGATACGCATTTTCCAACGAGGTCGAAACAGTTAACTGGATTTGTAGTCAGGTTCTCGTAAGAATAGTACTCCCTTTTCAGACAACAATGTAAGTCAATGGGTCCTAGGTTCACGATAGCCAGGTTTACCCAGCTGTTTCAACTGACTTTTTGTGGAAAACGAGGAAATGAACCTTTCTTTTATCTTCATTTCGAGAACATGACCTCGCAAAGTAAAATACATTGCAGAAGTCAAACTGAATAACAATGACAAAGACATTGGTCAAATTTCGATATTAAGGGGTGAGAGCACTGTAAAAACTTGAAATAAAGCGTTTGTTTGCAATTTTTTTTTGGATGCATGGAAACGTAAGATTAAATATGTCGTTAAGTGTTAAAAAAAAATATTTATTTAAATATAGTGCAAAATTACGACGCTGGAGCCATTCTCGCGAGGCGCGTTTTGAATTTGAGGCGCAAATGCTCGCCAATCACACAAAAATTAATGTTTCGAAAATCCCCTATGTATTTCTCTAGCTGTACTCATGTAGATTAAGAGAAAATTGTTTGTTTTTTTCCCCTGATACAAAGTTAGTTACACTGCGTGCCGCAAAGCGCCTCAAATTCGGAACACACCTCGTGTTAATAGCTCCAGTGTTGTTATTTTGCACTATTTTTGAATAAATATTTTTTTTTTTACCACTCAACGACATGGTTAATCTTACTTTTCCATCCATCCAAAAAAAAATCGCAAAGAAACGCTTTATTTCAGGTTTTTACAGTGGTTTTGTCCCTGAACCATTTTCATCCACAACCTATTCCCATGAAATCAAACTTCTTACCATCGATTATTTATCTTTTGTTCCTACACGCGAATAATGTACTTCTATTTCTGTCGGATATTTTCAGAGATTCTAGAATTTCATAGAAAAATCGTGTATTTCGTTTCTGACGAGCTTTTTCATTCCAATTTCCTAATGTTTTATTCATTTTTTATGAATGAATGGAAAAGTAAGATAATAATATTCAAGAATGTTATTAACCATGTCGTTAAGTGTAAAAAAATATATTTATTCATAAAGAATGCAAAATAACGACGCTGGAGCCATTCATGCGAGGCGCTTGGACCAGAGGCTCTCTCTATCACGCAGTGTAACTGACGTAAATTTGTATCTGGAAAAAAACAACAAATTTTCTCTCGATCTAGACTAGTATAGCTAGAGGAATACGCAGGGGATTTTTGAAACATCAATTTTTACGTGATTGGCGAGCACTTGCGCCTCAAATTCGAAACGCACCTCGCGAGAAATGGCTCCAGCGTCGTAATTTTGCACTATTTTTGAATAAATATATTTTTTTTACCACTTAACGACATGGTTAATCTCACTTTTCAATCCATCCAAAAAAAAATCGCAAAGAAACGCTTTATTTCAGGTTTTTACAGTGGTTTTGTCCCTGAACCATTTTCATCCACAACCTATTCCCATGAAATCAAACTTCTTACCATCGATTATTTATCTTTTGTTCCTACACGCGAATAATGTACTTCTATTTCTGTCGGATATTTTCAGAGATTCTAGAATTTCATAGAAAAATCGTGTATTTCGTTTCTGACGAGCTTTTTCATTCCAATTTCCTAATGTTTTATTCTTTTTTTATGAATGAATGGAAAAGTAAGATAATAATATTCAAGAATGTTATTAACCATGTCGTTAAGTGTAAAAAAATATATTTATTCATAAAGAATGCAAAATAACGACGCTGGAGCCATTCATGCGAGGCGCTTGGACCAGAGGCTCTCTCTATCACGCAGTGTAACTGACGTAAATTTGTATCTGGAAAAAAACAAAAAATTTTCTCTCGATCTAGACTAGTATAGCTAGAGGAATGCGCAGGGGATTTTTGAAACATCAATTTTTACGTGATTGGCGAGCACTTGCGCCTCAAATTCGAAACACACCTCGCGAGAAATGGCTCCAGCGTCGTAATTTTGCACTATTTTTGAATAAATGTATTTTTTTTACCACTTAACGACATGGTTAATCTCACTTTTCAATCTATCCAAAAAAAAATCGCAAAGAAACGCTTTATTTCAGGTTTTTACAGTGGTTTTGTCCCTGAACCATTTTCATCCACAACCTATTCCCATGAAATCAAACTTCTTACCATCGATTATTTATCTTTTGTTCCTACACGCGAATAATGTACTTCTATTTCTGTCGGATATTTTCAGAGATTCTAGAATTTCATAGAAAAATCGTGTATTTCGTTTCTGACGAGCTTTTTCAGTCCAATTTCCTAATGTTTTATTCTTTGTTTTTGAATGAATGGAAAAGTAAGATAGTAATATTCAAGAATGTTATTAACCATGTCGTTAAGTGTAAAAAAATATATTTATTCATAAAGAATGCCAAATAACGACGCTGGAGCCATTCATGCGAGGCGCTTGAACCAAAGGCTCTCTCTATCACGCAGTGTAACTGACGTAAATTTGTATCTGGAAAAAAACAACAAATTTTCTCTCGATCTAGACTAGTATAGCTAGAGGAATACGCAGGGGATTTTTGAAACATCAATTTTTACGTGATTGGCGAGCACTTGCGCCTCAAATTCGAAACACACCTCGCGAGAAATGGCTCCAGCGTCGTAATTTTGCACTATTTTTGAATAAATATATTTTTTTTACCACTTAACGACATGGTTAATCTCACTTTTCAATCCATCCAAAAAAAAATCGCAAAGAAACGCTTTATTTCAGGTTTTTACAGTGGTTTTGTCCCTGAACCATTTTCATCCACAACCTATTCCCATGAAATCAAACTTCTTACCATCGATTATTTATCTTTTGTTCCTACACGCGAATAATGTACTTCTATTTCTGTCGGATATTTTCAGAGATTCTAGAATTTCATAGAAAAATCGTGTATTTCGTTTCTGACGAGCTTTTTCATTCCAATTTCCTAATGTTTTATTCTTTTTTTATGAATGAATGGAAAAGTAAGATAATAATATTCAAGAATGTTATTAACCATGTCGTTAAGTGTAAAAAAATATATTTATTCATAAAGAATGCAAAATAACGACGCTGGAGCCATTCATGCGAGGCGCTTGGACCAGAGGCTCTCTCTATCACGCAGTGTAACTGACGTAAATTTGTATCTGGAAAAAAACAAAAAATTTTCTCTCGATCTAGACTAGTATAGCTAGAGGAATGCGCAGGGGATTTTTGAAACATCAATTTTTACGTGATTGGCGAGCACTTGCGCCTCAAATTCGAAACACACCTCGCGAGAAATGGCTCCAGCGTCGTAATTTTGCACTATTTTTGAATAAATGTATTTTTTTTACCACTTAACGACATGGTTAATCTCACTTTTCAATCTATCCAAAAAAAAATCGCAAAGAAACGCTTTATTTCAGGTTTTTACAGTGGTTTTGTCCCTGAACCATTTTCATCCACAACCTATTCCCATGAAATCAAACTTCTTACCATCGATTATTTATCTTTTGTTCCTACACGCGAATAATGTACTTCTATTTCTGT